AAATACATTTCCTGCAAAATAATTTTCTTACGGGAAACGTAGCCTGTGTCCTAGACCAAATGGTCTGCCCAAATCTGCATATTTTTAGATAAGCTTTTCAATTACAGATCCTTATTAAAAGCACGTGTAAGTGCCTTTCAGTTTCTCATCCTTAATTTCTTTTGAGAAATGTGTTCTCCCTTTGCTAGATCACTTGATTTCTTTCTTGCAAAGGGGTGGGTGGACCTGCGCTAAGTTAAGATTGAAAAAGATTTGAACAACACTGATTAGCAAAGAGCTCACGTGACCATTTATTGTAACTTCTAATATCTATAAGCATACCAAGCCTCACATAGTCCACATCAGAAGAAAAGGTCTTTTCTTAAGCATTTAGGATAGAATTCTTACAGCTAAAGTTTGAACACGGGAAGATTTGCTCTACATCAACACCTGCTGTTCTGCCGTTACGGCAAGAAGGAAGCTGGAGCACAGACTTCTCAGCTGTGACATATAATCCATGTGTGGATTAAACTGAGCATGCAGTGCAGCTCAGAATTCCAGAGAATCCTCCTTCCTCCACTCTGACAGTGCAAAGGTGGGCTTTTGACCCAAGGGAATATGTATGAATTATGAAGTATTCCAATAGGGATTGTACTAACCTTCTGTTTTCTCTCTCTGCTCCTGTTTTGCAGGATGACTCTTCAACATTTCCTTCCTTGTTCTAAGAAAATTTGATTGATTGTCGAGAGTGATTTTGGGCTTCTTTCCAATGTATGTCTGGGCTCATCTTTAAACTCTTCACTCCAGCATGACTTAAGCTGCCGGTGCAGAGAAGAAAAGTAACCTTAAGCAGACCCTTACTGTGTTATTTTTTACTCTAGATAGTGCATGTAGAACTTCTTTCATCCATTCTACCTCACTAGATTTTTCCTAATTCTCGTAGCACGCAGTGCTTCCATGTCATACAAAAAAAAATTGCAGAAGGATTACATAAAGTCTTCTGTTAAAGTCTGCCCTATGGTGTACTCTTATCTTTCTTTTCATTGAGCATTTCTTTGATCTTTTTTTTCTTAGGTTCTCCATTGGGAAGCAGAGATAAGTTACACATGGAAAGAAGTTCCACAGTAAGTAGCTGAAATAATGAAGCCTCATTGTTTCTGTCTCTCTTGCCCATTAATCTTTTTTTTTTTCTCCCCATCAGCAGTACTGTGAATTCATCTGCTTATCATCTTCAGCATTCCCATCAAACTTTGTCACCCTTCTCTAGCCAGGACGGATCAGTATGAAGCCAACAATTATGTGTGTTTGAATTATCCTGCTCATTGCTACAGCAAGGTACTTCTGGCTTTCATATTTGTTAGGGGTCACTCTCTCTCCTCTACCTGCATACCAATTTCTGTGGGTTTCTTTACGAGTCAGGTTACAAACGTGTGACTAGAAATCAAAACTGCCCTTCACTGAAATGTATGACTATTGCTTTTTCATAGTGAAGAGTTCTTAATGAGATGCAGTGCAACAGAAAGTTAAAGTGTTTTGCATCCAGCGTTTTGTACATTCAGTGTTTTTATGTGAGGCTGTTAAATTAAGGTAGATCTTTCCAGCTGAATCAGAAAATACAGATAGGCTTCCCTGCTTATTCAAGGTTTGCGTCTCTGTGTTGACAAAGAACCACAGAGGTAGAATGTGACGGAGGAAAGGAGCACCGCCTACTGGTCGCACAATGATACCGGGGAACGGAATTCTACCCGTCCGTTAAAACGCACAGACGGCGCAATTCTTGGCTGATTTGTTTGTATATAAGGAAAGAATTTGTTCTGGAAGTGCAGTAACAGGGTGTTCCTCATGGGCATTGCGGTGACTGGGAGGCAGGGGAATTTAGAATGATGTCTGATGCGTCTGAAGGAAGGTGGTTCTGGCTGTATCAGAAGCAGTAATTTGAGAATCTTTTTGCCTGTTTGTCTCCTGTGGTTTAAAAAAAAAATAAAGAGTTTAGGAAAGATTTTGGTTCCTGATCTCCAAGGAATTGAAATAATAATAGGCCAAAACCATTCAGTCTTTGAAATAGTGTACTATTGTATGCAAGTTCTTGTATGCACAGTCACTCTATAGCAGATTGAAAATGTTTGTCTTGGCATCAACAGTCACAGAGAATTGGCAAAATATTTTATTAGACTAGAATAAAAATAACAATTGGCCCTATATCTCAGCATGCATGTTTGGATTGACTGTGTGACTCAGGGCTTGCAGGGGCTCATCACCTGTGGCTCCTTTGTTCCAACAAAAAGGGTGGTTGTTCAGTGTAGGCTCTGAAAAATACTGCTGGGTTTTATCTTTAGCTAAATCCTCACACCTTGGATGTTATCAGACAAGAGAGAAAGCCATTCTCGCTTTCTTTTCTGTGAAAGGAAACAATTTATGTTCTTAGTCATCAGTATTTTTGACTTGTGATCTCACTTTAATCAAAAGCAAGGTGCATGTGTGCTGCTTGTAATTTACTGAAGGTTCCTGTGCTTCTACAAATATGATAGCATGATAGTAGGATGCACACTAACTCTACCCTCTGTACCCCAGTATATGAGGATAGTCACTCCTTGCCCTCCAAAATCAAAATTTGTTCAGGAATTATGAGTGCTTATACTCATGTAGGATAAATATGTTGTAATTGTAGTGCATTAGGCCAGTCTCATCTTTTCAGAGTAGATACGGCTTCATTTTACAAGTGCAGTACGACATGTTGAAGGCCATCGTTGCCAACAAGAAAGACCTACTAAAAAAATGGTGAAAATTTTGGGGGAAATACATTCCAGGAAAAAAAAAAAAGTCAAATATTTTCATGTTCGACAAGCATCTTAGTCTTCTTGGGTCTGTAAGCACTTTGTCACTACAAACGAAATTCACTTGGCTATTGCAGTATGCTTAGGGATTACTTCAAACCAAAAGGTTCACTGGACCCCCCCTCTCAACAAGAGAGAAATCCCATCTTTGAGATGCAGCTATATTTGTTTTCCAGACTTCTGCTAGCAGCAGAATGTCACCTATCCCACTTGTGCATTCTAACATGAAGACATGAAAGGAAGAAGAGGAAGTGTTGTTTTCATGTATGTTTCCTGCAGCAATTGAGAGATATGCTCCTATTATTTACCACTCCACATCTGATCTGTTTTGAAAAGGTTACACACGAAATAAGGAACTGATGTCCCCAGGAAGGGGAACTTGTTTACATGAATCAGCTGTAAAAATGGGGGATTGTCCTGCTTTGTGTGTTGTAAGGAAGCTGAGCAGCAAACTGAAAAAAGAGAAGTACTAACAGCAAAAGTTTTGTGGGCTTAGGAATTGATTCTGTGAGTAGCTGGGAGATACAAGTATTGATAGCCAGGGATTCAGTGTTTTCCACTTGTAATTTGTGTTCTGGCAAATGGCATGTGCTGAGAAGGAGTATGATGCTATGGCAAGACCAAGAATACTTTGTGTTTGGAGAAGAATACTCTGTGCAGTATGTAAGAGAAATCTGGCTCGTCAGGGTCACTCCTAAGCTGGATCAACCCTTCCTATTTTCCATGTTTCCAAAAAAGCTCTCAACTGTTAACAGAACAGAGTCAGTCTTCTTAGTCTGAGAAAAAGAAAAAAAAAGTGCCCAGCCCTAGTTTGTAACGTTTAATCTTTTGGTGTGTCACACTTACTGCCATGTGAATTGGCCGGGAAGAATTCCATGCCTCAAGTTCTGTAGCAGGTTCATCTGCTAGCAGTATAATGCCTGCTTTCTCACTTGACGCATTTCTTATCAGTAGGTGAAATCCAGAGAGGAAGACTTGAAGAACTGCAGTCCCTTACATCAACATCGAAGTGGAACCCAAGGACAACGCCGAATATTCAGGTTCTTTATATCCTTTATATCCTATAGTAGAGAATGAAAATGTTGTCTAGCATATGACATAGTTACTTTTTACTGAAAAAATTAAGGGATTTAAAAACACAGAGTAGGAAATTTTTGAGAATTTAGGATTTCTGGATACTCTGAGGACTTCCGAATAGCAGAATTCATACATAGTATACTCTTTACAAAAACACCACTGCAAACATCAGCTCCAGCCATTGCAATAACTATATAGACACCAAACCTTTTGTGGTATCTTCCTTTCTCAATCTGAACAAGCCCATCTCCCTCAACCTTTCTTCATAGGAGAGATGCTCCAACCCCCCAGGTGTCTCTGTGACCCCCTCTGAACCTGTTCCAAAAGCTCAACATCAATTTCTTTAATTATTTGTTTGATGTTGATATATTTATTCATGAATATTCAGGCTGTTGATTCCAACTTTAAGTATTATGTGGAATGTGTACTGTGATCACTGTGAGAGTTACAGAAGTTCTTTATTAACAGTGGAAGTTCCCTGCAGTCCAAAATGGGCTGAGGAGTTCAGAGGAAAACATCCGCAATTCAGCCTGAAATCTTCCCATGTCTAAAACCTGCCAGCTGCAGCTTTTTTCTATTGCTGCCTGTGTATTCTGTAGTTCTGTGGGTTTTTTTTTTTGCCATAAATAATAGCAGCCGGGATGGAATTCAACAGGCCTGTCATTGGGCAGAGGGGTGATGGTTCACTGGCTGCGATGGAGTGTTGCACACAGGTTTGGGCTGCTGGGCAGCAGCACTGCTTCCACGACAGCTGCAGCCCCAGATGAGCGGCTGGGGCAGAGATGAGTGCGGGAGCCGGAGAGCCCGATGTGTGAGAGCACTCCCCACGCAAAGCCAGAGAAGGGCTGGAGCTGACTGTGGGCGAGACCGCGCTGCGGCAAATACTTCTTAGTGCGGTCACACAACCACCGAGCCCGGTCGCGATACGTAAGAGGCAGACAGCGGCCAAAGCGGTGGCGCGGCGCGGCGGCAGGGTCAGCACTGATTTCCCGTTCCAGGGCCGAGCCCCGCGCCGCAGCCCCGGCCAGGCGGCAGCGCAGCGCAGCTCGGGCGGCCCCGGCCCTTCCGCTCCGCCCGCAGCCGCGGTCTGGGCGGGCACAGCGAACACTACGAGTCCCGTCAGGCGGCGCGGCCCGGCCGCTCCCAGCGCGGCGGAGCGGCGGGGAGAGGCGATGCCGGCGGCGGGCTCGGAGGGAGACGAGGGCCCGGCGGGGGAGCGGGCCGGGCCGGGAGCCCCCAAGCTGTGCGGCTACCTGCAGAAGCTGTCGGGGAAGGGCCCGCTGCGCGGCTTCCGCAGCCGCTGGTTCGTCTTCGACCCGCGTCGTTGCTACCTCTACTACTTCAAGGGGCCGCAGGAGGCGCTGCCCCTCGGGCACATCGACATCGCCTCCGCCTGCTTCGGCTACCACCAGCCCGAGGCCGCCGCCGCCGCCGCCGCGGGTGACGAGGCGGCCGCCTTCGAGGTGCGCGGGCCCGGCGGCGCCGTGGCCGTGCTGAAGGTAGGCCGGGCCGGGCGGCCCCGAGCGGGGACCGCGGCGCTCGGAGGGGCCGGGGCTCCCGGCGCTGCTCGGAACGGCTCGGAGCCGCGCCTCCCGGCTCCGCACGGGGCTTCCCGCGCTGCTTTCGGCCGCTGGTTTCCGGGGTAAACAGATACTTGGCGATGCGCGGTGCCGGGCGGCCCCGAGCCTTTGTGTCATCTTTTCCTTACCGAGCCTTTTCCCAAGTGCTGTCCTGCACGGAAGGGCCCTGCCCTGCCCTGCCCTGCCCTGCTGCGTGGGTTGGAGTGCAATCCCGGTGAGTGCAGGCTGGAGCCCACCGCTTGTTTTGAGCAGCTGGTGCGTGGCAATAGCCTTCATCTCTGCTTTGGGAGGAAGGAGGATCGTTTCCTGATAGCCTAGCCGTTATCGCGTGCATCCCGCGGGCTGCAGACTAAACAGCGGGCTGGCTGACGCCTCTCGTTGTTGCTCAGACACACACACACAGAGCAGAGAAACAGCAGAGATACGGACAGAGATCACAAATGCTGATGCTGCACAATGTGATTGCGTGCTTTTTTTTTTCTTTTTTTTTTTTTTTTTCCAAAATGTAAGCATTTATCAAAATTAGGAATCATTGACATACTTTGCTAAAGATTAAATAAGTTATCCAGCTGGAAAACTAATGTAATCATCGTGAGTATATCTGGTTGAAGCAGAGCGATGCAGTCAGCAGTTCCACTTGTGATCACTTGTAAAAACAACTTTTTTTTTTTTTTCCTATAGCCTTAACCAAAGTTCTCATCACTTTCTGTGAACCTACCTTAGCACTCAGCATTCATCTTGTAGAAGTTAAAATGGCAGAGTTAACGTAGGGGTTGCTTTGTTCATTAGCTACTATTGAGTGATTTCTGTTATTTATTTTGCTGTAGAAACCTCCAAGAAAGCACATAGTGCCATGAGCAACTCGTCAAACAGTGTCAAACAGTGCGGCAGCAGCAGCCCCAGGCACAGGGCTCACATTGGCCTCAGCTGCCATGCACAAGTGTAAGCAACAGGAGGTTTCCTTTTTAGTGTTTCTCTTGGTATCTTTTAGGCCATGACGTTACTCTGCCCTTCCTTTCCTTAGTTGTTTGTTGCTGTGTTCTTTGGGAAAGAACTGATATGAGTTGGAGCTCTCTGCGTTTCCCTTATGGAGACTTAGAAAAGCCAAGGTTGGTTCTGCAACATGCAGAAGTAATTTTGCACCTTCTACCCCTTATATTGTTTCAACACTTGCCTTAAAGTAGCCAAGTGGTTGCCTTTTAGAATGGTATCACATCATAAGCACTTACATAATAGATAGGGAGTAAGTGAAAAACATGAGAGATGTTAGGAGCCAACTGGTCTTTGGCAGTTGTGTGGTTCACCAAGGGTTAAGGCTTTTGGGGCTGGAATTAATTTTCTTCTACCCAGTGTGGTAGATCTTGAAGGCCTATAAAAATACATCGTAGCTAAATTAGGTAGAAATAGGAATGAATTCAGGATAGGGAAACCAAACCGCTGTCTGTTCCAGTCCCTGCTGAAAAGAAATGTGGTTTCATTTATGAAGAAAACATTGCACACAGAGCATGAGGAAGAAAATCAAATGAAATGTTGCCTTCTCCCTCTAACTCACATGCCTTATTTTCCTCAATTTGCTGCTTGTTCAGAATTTCCAGATCTCATGATCTGGTCTTTCTCATTCAGTCTTCTCAGCTGAGAAGAGCAGTAAGAAATAAGCAACTGGAATTCCAGATTGCAGTGATGGTGCTGTTCAGGAATGCATTATTTCTTCATAATGCCTCATTTTTTTGTTAATGTAATGATTTCGTCATCTGGATTGCTCAGGCTTTGTAATTTAGTGGGAACTGAGGACAGTGTGATATGCTTGTGGTTTGTTCCTCAGTTTGATAGCATCTGACCAAGAAAAAAAAAAATTAGCACTGCAGCCTTCACAGCAATTGAAGTGAGTTGTTTCTAAGTTCATTTTTAAAGTAGTGTCTGTCGTGGCTTATGGCACTGTTCATTTGCTCCTGAGGCAATGAAACACTGACCTGTGGTGATGCTCTGTGTCTGCTGACGTGGTTGACTTCTGTGTGGAGAAGGGTGAGTTGGAGGCAATGATAGACTAATTAAAGAGATAAAAGAGGTTTGTTTCCAGAGCTGATCAGACTTGTGACTTTGCCCGTTAGTGGTTTCAGTGCTTTAGCTAAAATTGGGCTGCTTTCTTGGGAGCTTATCTGGCTCAACACCTGCTGTTTTCACACAGCAGGGTTAGTAAGTCCTAAAGAAATGCTCATTTTTGATGGTGATTCTTCTTTCAACATTTCTACATTCAGAAAAGGATTGTGGCAAATGTTTTCTCAAAGTGGAACATCTGCTTATTGACATTTCTTCAGGCTCTGCCTCCAAGTCTGTCATATTAGCATGTGTGGTCCAGGTAGGGGATGGTACTGTGCAGTAGATTCCTCCAGATAATTTTTTGTTCATGTTACGTGTGCATTGGAAGAAGGCAGCTCCTATAGCATCCTTCATACAAGGTGGGGGAGATGGTTTTAAGTAAATGATAACCATTTTCCATCATTTCTGTCTCTCTTGAGTTACCTTATCTTCTGCTGCTACCTGCGGGTTGGCAATGGCAGTTCCTTGTCAGGCCCCAGTTCAGATGACAATTCCAGTTCAAATGACAACTTTGTGAGTCTGAGGCTTTGTGCATCTCTAAGACACGAATGCTCTTTACATTGTTTCGGGATCTGTTCTGTTGTGAGAATGTCTCTCTGTCAAAATAGGTGTCATCTTGCAGATACAGATCCTCCCTGATATTGCATTTATGGTGGTTTTCTTCCTGCAAAAGACGCCTCCCTTAAAATGTCACTGGCCTGCTGCGGCTCTGTCTTGTTGAAGAGCCTTGCAGTAGCTGAGTACAGCTGAAGGTTCTTTGCCATGGCTGATCCGTGCAGCTCTTGGTTGCACATTCTGTCTCTGATGGTGACCAGCAGCCAAATACTCAGGGAAGCCGTGAAAATGGGGCAGGCGTGGGAGAGTTCCGTCTCTGACAGGTGAAGTGGCTGCTTTTGAGTGTTTGCAGATTTCCCTGTTGTTTGTTTAGGAGTAGGGGAAGAGAGAAACTTGTGTTCTATGAGGTGTTTGGGGAAAAAAAATACAATTTCAAACAACGCAATCTTTAAAGGCAGTTTTGTAGAAACAAAAGGCCATCTTAACAGAAGGGTTCTGTATAATTCTTTAACTTGTAAAGTAAATAATTAAGATACCTGCGTAAACTCAGCCAACAGTGTTCAAAGGAAGTGGAAATCTCCATAAAAAAGAAAAGGAAGGTCATGTATTTGGAGGAGGAAAGGTCAGACAAGCGGGCTGCGGCAGCAGTGTGATGAGGAATCCTAGGGAAAATGGCTTAAAACAGGAAGGGTGAGACTCAGGGTGCACTGCGGTCCTGTTTTACGCTGCAGGACTGTACGTGCTGACCCCCGTGTGTCAGTGCCATCACTTAGCAGCTGAGGGTATGTATTTGCTGCCAGCACTGTATGGGTGAAAATGGTAGTTGGGTAACAACAGCAAGCAGCAGCTCCAATAAAACAAATTTGTTTTTACTAAACAGCATTAGCAAGAGGGTAACGGTGCAGGATGTTAGCGGGACTCATTACATTGAACTCGTCGTGGGCAGAAGCTAATTGTAGGTGTGTGTTGTATTGCCTCATTAGCGATGCTGTGGTAGCAGAGAGAACCACCTACATATTACATCCTGTGTTAGTGGAAGCTCTTTGAAGACGCAGTGGTTTTCTCGAGCTCGAGCATGGTAATACATAACTGGACAAGGCCTGTGTGCACTTCTAAAGGAAGCATAGGTTCTCAGATGTACTGTAAATGGACGCTTGCTGCTGGGCAGACCTCCAGGGGAAATCCTTTGGTGCTGGAGGTGGAAGGGAAGCACGTATGCCTTGCAGAGAGCAACTGGGTGTGTAGGCTGTGTAGGTCCTACTGTGCTGGTTGTTCCAGAGGTGCCTGTGATGGCTGTGTGGGTTGGCTTTGCAGTGTATGAATTCTCTGACACTTTCTGGTAAATCTCACAGGCACATTTAAACTAGTCTCTTCCCCTCTCTTCTTTAAGGCAAATACTTTTTCCCCAGGTGCCCATGAGCAGGCAAGACTAAATAGACAAAACTTCCATTTTGGAGCAGGTGTGTGTTGTTACACCTATGTCATACCAGCTGAGGAACGGGAACCTACAGTGTCCTCGTGTGTCACTGGTTTATTTCACTGCTTGGTTTGCATTATTGATGCTTACTTGCTCAGATTCCCATGTTCTGTGTTGTGTTATGCATTTGATCTGCTGAGAGGGTCTGCAGCATCAGCTCCAGGAATGACAATCTTGGTTTTCTGACCGGCTTGCTTGAATGGTGCTTTGTAGCCATTTGCCATGGGTTGTGTAGACCTTAAAGTTTGTACGGGTACAGAATGCCAAATTATAAAATAAAAACCTGTCTTTATGATTGCTAAAAGCAAATATTGCAGATTGCTGAAGCAGAGAGCGCCCTGGGGGAGCATTGCTTCTTGTTTGTTGTATTACTAATGCTCTGTCTTGAAATTAGCCGCTCTGAGTTGAGATACGATGGTAAATGGATCTTCCATTTGACGAGGCCAAAAGTGTTCTTAGAGCAGCAGTGAAGATTAGTCTGTGCCATTTGTGTGCTTTGTGCAATGCTGAGTGTATTTCTGCGCAAAGGAAATGGCATCTTCATGCTTTTGCAGCTCTGCCATATGTAGGCATCCCCTTCAGTTGTGATGAACAAAACAGGAAGCTTCTGGAAATTCAGTTTGTCTGCAGAGCAAACAGTCATTTGTACAGGTAGCGGGTTTTTTTATTAATAATGCCAACAGGCACTGGGGAGCAGTTAGAAAGACCAGCTGCAAGCTAAGCACTGTGTGTGCTTAGGGCCATAGGGTCACCAAGGTTGGAGGAGACCCCCGAGGTCACCCAGTCCAGCCATCCACCTACCACCAGTATTTGTTTCCCCACTGTAGCATGTCCCTTACAGGCCTCGGGGCTCAGGCCAGTGTCTTTTCACAGCATTAACTTTGTACTCCTCAACATGCCCTGTTACCAGTGTCAAGTGTTTGTTCTAGATTGGCTGTTGAGTGTATATTTTGTAACAGAAATAACTCTTGAGGGAGCACCTGCAATGCCTTCTGCCATCATTTAGTCTCTTACTGACACTGAAGGCCGGGATTTGACATATTATGAAATGAATCCTGCAACTATGATTCAGACTGAAGCTTAAAGATGTTTGACTTATGTCATTATAATGAATGTAGGCTTGTAGATTAAATGTCTGTGTGTATTATTAATACACCCTCTGTATAGAAGATGGTTAACTCATGGTACCATCAACTAACACAATGAAGAGGTTCAGTTATGGAAGTAGATGGCATCACAGCACCTTCTTATGTTGTTGGTTTCTGCTGGTAGCAAAGAAAATGAAGTAAGGAAGGCAGGAATTTTTCTGTGCATGGGGCTCTTTCTGTGATGTGGAATTGTAGTTGTGTCTGAACAGTGCTTTGTGTGTGAAATATAGCATACTGCTGTGTTCTCTAATGTTTGAGTCTAAAACTGGAGGAAAAGGGAAGGTGGGTTTGGCATGGAAGTCAGGGTTACATGCACAGCGTGTGTTGAGTCCATTAGTGATTATTTCCTTTAGATCATCCTTGATTGGGGTAATCATAATTTGCAGACCAGCAAAGAGATCTGGGTCGTTGCTTTCTGTATTGTGCTTGGAATTAGCAAATTCAGATACCAGAGATGGACTGATCTCATTAGTGCTCTGCTTCTCTGTGCTGTAGGCTGCAACCCGTCAGGATATGACCTACTGGCTTCAGGAACTGCAGCAGAAGAGGTGGGAATATTGTAACAACCTTGATGCAGCCAAAAGGGACAGTCGGACTTCTCCTACACCGAGTGACTTTTCCAAAGGTCTTGTTGCCAAAGACAGTCCTGGTAGGTGGAAAATCTGAGTGAAAATGATGTGTGCTTCTGTTTGGTATCTCCTAATGGGCAATAAACACAGTGTGGAGGAAAGATGGAGGGGTCAGTTCTTTGTTATATCTTGTTCTTAAGTAACTAGTTGAACTTTGCATCTGCTGAAGTTACTTGGCATAAGTGCAATTTGATGTGTGATTTTCTCTCTTCTGAAACCCCTTGGTTTCTTTAAAAACAGATTTCACAGTAGTGTAAAACACAAAAAATGTAGTATGAATTATTCTGTGTTTTGTCTTCATTGCTAAGACATTTCTGAATTGTTTGATTCCTGTATTGTTACCAAAAAAGGCTTGCTTGTTTATCTCTGCTACCAATAAATAAGACCACATTAAGAAATCCTGTTCTTTGCCAACTTAAGTAGATTAGTAAAGCTCCTTCAGGTTTGGATTCTGATTTGAGGTCGGACATACTTCATCAACAAACGTTATATTCTGTCGATTTCAGTTTGCTCATATTGTCAGAAGAATGTTAAGATGTCTTTGTCCCCTCCCTTCTGTGCTCTCCCATGTCAGATCCCTTGTGGCTGTGTTGTCCTCTAACCCAGTTTACTGCTTTCATTTGAGAGCAGTTGCTTGTGACTGCTTGCTCAAGCACAGCTGGCCTGAAGAGCTCAGCCTTTGGTTCAGCTGTGCTGATCTAATAGCTGCCCACTGCTTGAAGGATCACCTTTCTGGTGGTAGCCCCAGCCCCTTTGATTAGCAGCTTGTTAAACCATATGCTGCAAAAATATACATATTGCTGCTGCTGCCAGAAATGGTCACACAGTTTTGTTCTTTTAAGCCTGTCTGGTTCTACCAAAAGCCTCTCACTCTGCTAGGCACTTTCTTGCATTGTTTGTGGTGTTTGATGTTGTGCTGAGTTGACTCAAGTCGAAGCTTAGCCAAGAGGGAGGGCTGCGTTTTGTTCTGTTTCCAGCTGGATTACTGAATGGAATATGTTTACTATACAGTCAGGTGACTTGCAGAGCTGGAGGGGGGGAGGGAGCAAGGTTTAGCAGCTGAAGATGGAAGTCAGAGTAGCAGAGACAGGAGTGCCCTCTTCTGGGAGCAGACCGTTGGATCAGAAACATTAGTATGGTTTGACACCAAATCCACTCCTTCTGCTACTTTCCTCAGCATTCAAGTGGTGTGAAACACATCTCATGTCTCCACAGCTTGTGTAGATACTGTGCCCTCCTTCGTGCTTTGCTTGGGGTCCAGCAAAACCAAGTGAAAAAGACCCATTACTTTGGATCACTGACCTAATGTCTGTCTTTCTTCCAAACTGTTGGTTGGGCTTTGTTGAATCAGCAAGCTAAGCAGTGTGTTGTAGGACTGTGATGGGTGGTGTGTGTTTGTTGGTTGTTTTTTGTGGTTTTTCCAGTGTATTAAATCCACTGCAAGAAATGTCTGGGGGTGCCTGAGCTGAGCAGACACATCCCTTTTAAGGACAGCTGGCAGTTAAGCTGCATTCTTATTATGCATTATTAGTTTGGGACTGCATCTGTAGCATCTCAGTTTTGAGTACAGATCTCAATGATGACTTTAACATCAATGGAGCTCTTGAAGAGTCAGGATTCTTCTGGGGAAAGTGGGAAAACCCTGAATGATTGTTTTTGCTTTTTGAACAGGTACTGTAAAGGTTTCCTGTGAAGCTTGGGATCTCCTTAGGGGCCTGATTTCAATCTGATGATGAATCTACGTGTCTTGTTTAAAAAACAAAAAACAAAAAACAAAAAAACCCCAAAAAACCAGCAACAACAACAACAAAAACCATTATTGTGCATTCAGTGTCTTCAGTCAATGAATCCAGTACTTCATACTGGAGCATACAAGTTGGTTTCTTTTGCTTGTGCTTCAGTACAGGTGCTATTACTAACATTTTGAATGGGAAGAAGTCTGTCTTCAATCCAAAAATAAAATTGCTTACTATCCTTTTGTCTATTTTTTGTTATCTAGTACTGGATTTATTATCTGTAATAGTCTTTCTTAGCAGAAGTCTTTCTTAGCAGAAGAGCCTGTAGCAATGTTATTAGTTAGTCCTTTTGTATCTCAAGTAAACATCCAAAGCACAGGTATCAAAGTGTTAAGGTGAGCTGCACTTGAGTTTTCATCTTTCAACTGTTATTCTTGAAGTACTTGTTAAGACATTCACAAATAGGTGTGTGATGATCCCTTATTGCTCACTGTAGGAGGTATGGACATGGGAAATATCAGTCAGTGGTCTAAAAACAAAATCCAGTTGCTAAGTGATGTATGTGGGGCTTTTGGGTTGGTTTTTTTTTCCCCTCTTGGCACTGCTCTGCATGTCCTCACAGGCAGGAGTTTTTTGGGAAGATGGTTCTTGCTGCATCCCTTCCTATAATAATATTAAATAATGGAACTAACTCCTTTTTTTTTTTTTCTTTTCCTTTTCCTGTTGCCTTGCTCTGTGTGTGTTTTTGACAGAATAGAAAGCACTTTCTCCAGCTTTCTTACCCACTTAAGCTGTTGAACTCCATCCTTAAATCCTGGGTCACTTTTATTGATGTATTCCTTCAGCATCACTTTTCTCTACTCCTGTTTCAGCTGACTTTCTGTGCTGTGATTGGTGAGCTTAGTTGATATTTTTCAAATGTACTTTTGTTTTTCACCAGCTGAGATTATAGAGCAGAACCTGCTGTTTATGATAAACCAGTGGTAGGTGTCTGACTGATTAACTTTGTTAAAAGACAACTGAAGACTAGTCAAGTTCCAAGTTCTGTCACTGTTAGCTGTGTTACATGGCTTTCAAGAAGAGGAGCTGGGCTTAGAGAATGAGTTGGATTGGAAGTCACCTTGAAGGTCATCCAGTTTGAATCCCATGCTGTGGCTGGTTTGCACCCACTAGATCAGGAACTAGACCAAGTTGCCCAGAGTCTCATCTAACCTGGCCCTCGATGCCTCCAGCAGATAAGATGGCAAATAAGTTAGTTACCTGTTTGAGTGAGGTTACATTCATTTCATCTTATATGCCTTATAATGCTCCTCGTGATAGATTACATTGATTTTGATTGTTTCAGGAAAGAAACATTGCAGACGAGACGTGGTTTGGGTTTCTTCTCCCCCACCCCTAGTGATTCTATGCTCGTAATTCAGTAATGTATTACTTCTGCTGTTCTGCTACTTACTGAAAGTGTTCCTTTTTTTTTTTCTTCATTTTTTTCTTTGTCTTTTTTAATAGATTTGAGTATCCTCAGCCAAAATGCTTCAGCAGAGAGAGCTAGAAATATCCTAGCTGTGGAGACTTCTCCTACAGACCTAGTAGGGGAGCAAGCAGCTTCCCAGCCTGCGCCAGTCCAACCAAGTGCCATCAATTTCTCCCTTAAACAATGGAGCACTGAACTCAAGTAAGTTGATGATGTGGGAGAATGATCATTGCTGAAAGAGGAAGTTTTCTTTCTTAAATCCTATCAATTTTAAATGAATGTAGTTTGAATTCCTGAGCGTAAGTGTGATAGGTTCCTTCTGAACAAAACCACATTTTACCTTCTCACTCTTTTGGAGTTCAATCTTTAGTATTAACTGTTCTAAGGAAAGCAGTCCTAGTGGTTTCCAGCTCTCCTGCTTGTGACTGCCTTGATTGTTTTTACACTTTGCTTTGCCAACATAGGTGAGCCTGCTGCAACTACTCAAAGGACATTACAGTAGCATCACAGAGCAATTCATAAAGCTGAGCTGTGGCTTTGGTAACTAGACCATGGTCCTCTTAAGCTCCCAGGAATGTTGTTTGCTTTATCAGTGTTGTGAATTAAGCCCTTTTGAAGCTTACCTGTTGAGCATGGAGATCTAAAAGGTCATAAAGTGGTGCACTTTTTAAACTTTTTTTTATTGTTAAGTGTCTGTATAGACCACCATTTAAGTTCTAGTAAAGATGGCTTGTCACTGTCTGATCTGGTAGAACTTTAAAATTGGTCACAATACCAGGAAAATTCCATGAAGCAATTTCTGCTAGATAGGATAATTTTAAGAGCATGTCTGGTATTTTGAAACTTTCTTCTTGATTTTGTTTTCTCTGAATTGCAGATGTTCTTTGAGGAAGTCTAGCTAGAAGGGCAGTGTCAGGGTAAGCTTTTCAGTGTTGCCTGGTCGGTGTGTTGTGTTTCTTTTTAACACAACAGATAGGCTGTCAGCAGATGTCGGGTTGGGAAGCCCTTTGTTTGGAGGGAGTTGCTCATCATGGCAGTGGCCCAGCAGATGTTCTAGCACAACATCAAAGCGTTGGCCTTTTTCTGTATGGCTGTGATCCTAACAGTTTGGAGTCCATGCAGATCTGTGGAAATAAGTATGTCAGAAAATGCCACTGAAGCTTTTTCATACTGCGTCGTTTGTTTCTTCTGTTTTTTTTTTGTTGTTGTTTTTTTTGTCCAATCCCCTTCAGAAGATGTGTGTATGCTACTGATAGGGACTCCCAGTGTAAGAGAATGAATTGAGGCATCTCTGATACAGCCAGTTTCCTACATTGCTAGGAGGGTGTACTTAAGTACCTATTATGTGTCTTACTGACAGACTTACCTTTCTCCTGAGTGCATTTATGATGTGATTGCTTGAGAAGCTATTGCTATAGCATTTACGTCCTAAGTAGCAGCAATAAACTAATAATTGGAAGAAGGTGAGCAATGTGTCTTTGAGTTAAGCTGTATGTATACTTAGAGTACCTAAAGCTGAATGGTTGTTTTCTTCTTTTTAACAATCTTTTTTCAATTACTAATTGGCATACACAAACATTCAACTCTGCATTTTTTCATCTTAAAGCTCTCACTTTCTTGCATCTCTTGTTGGTGTAAAATACAGAATTGAAAGTACACTGAACTGTAATAACCTCAAATTGTATAATCAGAAAATACGACTTATAACCAAATATTTAGAAATACAGAACCAGTAGATCATATGTTCAAGTTTTAAATAGATTATACTTGTCATACTGTGCACAGGAACATAAATGTATGTTGTTTTTTTATTGTAAATTCAGTTAGCTTTAATCTAATAGAACACAATGAAGCTGTGCCAGTTTGGTGCTGTGCCAGAGCTATACTAAATTCGGCTTCAGCTGTGATTATTCCTGGGTGTAACAGCAGTTTCTGAAGGTTTCCTGGGAGTCATATGACTTGTTTCTTGTGATTCTTCCAGCTTCTTTCAAAGGTGGTGTTTGGACATGTTTTATATACAGAAGCTGACCAAGAGCAGAACAGGCAGCTGGGGGCTTGCACTGTAAGCACTCTTCAGAGAATAGCTGGAGAGATGCCAGCTGATTATCATTGAAGGTGCCCTGGGTGATATGTTGATCATCACCTAATTTGAGCTATTGACTGTAAATAATAAAAAAGGGATCCTTGTCCCTAACAGAAATTGTGATTTTTTGCTAAGAAGGCTGGAAGAAAATTAGAGGTGTTGTTTAACTCGGTATCTGTCACCCCTTCAAATTTGTTGTTAAAATAATTTTATTAATAACGAATAATTCAGTATTATTTTTTGACTTGTACTTGGTAGTTAATCAGTTCACCAGACTGCAGGAATCGGGCACTGCGTAACGATTAGCCTAGACTTCATTTTCAGCCTGGCAGGATATTTGTCATCTGATCACAGGTGGGACTGGATCACAGACTGATCACAGAGGTGCAGTACAGCTTACTTTCTGCCTCCAGCTTGCACAGTAGGAAGAGAGAATGGGGCTGGCAAAGTGAAAGCGTCTTTGTGAGCTTCTGACTCTAACAGCTGTGTGTCAAACATGTGGATACCAAACATATCTCTTCTGGCTTTTTATCTAAAACACTGGGCTGGTTCATGTGGATTGCTGTGGAATCCTCTGTAATTGAAGAAAGACATGATGCTGTGCAGTGCTTGTACTATGGAGCATACATTTCTGACAGCATGATCGTTGTGGGGGAAGCTGGGTAGGGGAATCTCATCTTGTTTGTGAAAAAATTGTTCTTTTATAGAATTATCTGTTTGGAATTCAGAGGTTGAATCTGAAATGTTCTTGCAGATGAATTGGCAACGTTCCACCTCAGGAAGGAATAACTACTAAGGAGTCTGTCATCAGCAGCTGCAGCAGCAGGTCCCTTGGATGATCCTGAGTTTGATGTTAATACAGAATATGATACGATAACATACATACTTTGATTGCATGCTGGTCTGTTTAATACTTGGCCATTTTCCTAAAAGTCTGAGCTGAAATAACCAATCAGTAAAAGAGATGCTGTTTCTTAATCTTTAATTCATCTTTTTTTCTCTCTGCCATAACAAGGGTAGAACAGAGGACGATTCAAAAGACCTTTCCAAAATATTAACTTATAGTACAAAAAAATTCTTCTGTCTTGAAATGTACAGCAGTTGGTAGCAGGTGTTGTTTAATAGAACGTGCTTTGTTTTCCTTGAGCCTTTATTTGGTTTTGGTTATGTCTCTGGGCTTATTTATCATTTGCATTGTTTTGACAGCAATGATTGTCTTGAAAAACCACTTTCTAAAATGAGTACGCAGTAGAGAAATCTTTGCCACTTTTTCTGCTGTGTTTTTCACAGGAATTCCATGTCCTCTTTGAGAAAAGGAAATAATGAAAACCGCAGGAGCGTATTTTATACAAGTGAAGAGTGGGAGCTGCTGGATGCAACCCCAAAAGATCTGGAGGACTCCATGGCCCTGGAAGAAAAGAGGAAGCACTTGGCAGAAGGAAATAAAGGTAGACGTGTGAGGAAGGGAGAGGAGCTCATGCCTTTCCTCCTTTCATGTAGCTCACTGTGATATTTGTATCTCCAGAAAATAAGTGAAAACTTGTCATTTGTTCACAAATCATATCCAGGGCTCTGTGAAGTATTTTAAAAGTAACTTTGGTATGACGTATTTGGGAGTCTCCAGCCATTTAGATAGAACAGAACACACAAGAACTCGTTTCCTGTTGTTTCAGGCTCTTTGAACGTTACCTTCTCTGCTTCTGTCACTTGGGGTGCAGAATTGCAGGATGAAGGGATAAGTTGGGGCTTCTGGTCACTAATTTCTGTCACACATTGAAGTAGATTGACTTTTAGACTCTAACACACGTTTATGATACTGACCTGCTGATGAAGTGGTGAAAAGGGGCATAGGTGCACTGGTAGTTTATGAATATTGCAACTGGTTCTTGCGTGTTGCCAATGTTTGGAGTCTTGTGAGGGTGTCTGTACAGCTCCCTAGGAGCACTTCAGCTCTTAAGGAAATGCAATTGGTTTCATCTGTTAGAAAACATATTTCTCTCTAATAATTCTTGTGTGGTTTTGTAAACAGAGGCAAAACTACACTGAGTGCATCTTAAAAGAACGATGTGCTGTGATTACTTCTAAGCAGATAATTATTGAAGTTTGCTACAGTTGGGAGTGCCTTTTATTTTCTGTAATGAAGCAAAGTTTTGTTCATGTTTTATTTCACAAGTATATATTTGAGTGAAAATTGTTCTGAGAGAGTTGGGAGAGTGAGTTACATATTCTTCCTACTGAAGGAAGCAACTGGGAAAACAATTTAACACTGTTGTATTGAGCTATTTCAATGTCATTAAGAGTCTAATTTCAATGAACATATTTTTAAAGGAAATTTGAATGCTTAGGAATGCCTTTTAATTAAGTGAACTGAGCTAGAAGGAATTCTTTTGTGCAGGACTGACTAGTTCAGCTTTCCCATTTGATTTTGGCCGCATTCCACAAAAAACGAGACGCCCTTTGAAAGACATGATTGGATCAAGCAAAAACCGGAACAGCAGTGACTCTTCTCCAACCGAGTGGTATTCTGGTAATGGCAACAGACTGGTGACTGAGCTGCAACTGAAGTATCAGAGCCAGCAAGAAGAGTTGGAAAAGCTGAAGAAAGATCTTCTGAGCCAGAAGGTAATTAAGCTTTCAGACAAAGTGCTCAGATGCAAATGAATCTGGATGGCAATTGTTAGTTTACCCTTGATGGCCGTCTAAATACATAAAGAGCTAGCTGGTTGTTAGAAAATAATGGTGCTAAATGAACCTTTGTTTACTGAAAGCCCTAAATAAGGAGTGAGTTTTACATCCGTTGAAGATTAGATCTCTGAACAAATCTGTCATTTGTACAGTGTTCACTAACTTGTTTTGTTTGCGTCTCTTACTCTCTGAAGGTAGTTTTCTCAGAGTCTAGAAAGATCCTGGCAGATAATCAGATCTTGTGTACAGAAAACTGCTTATTTGGGTTTTTTTGAAAGACTTAGCAGGATTTCATGCCAACAAGGATGCAAGCAGGGTTTTCAGCATAACTACTTTTATGTGTGTATACCTGTGCATCTGTGAGCTTCTTTTGTGGAAGTGAATAAATGTTGTGATTGTCCTGGATCTGAGTGTTCTCCTGGACAGCAATGTTTGTACTTTTAATTTTAGTGATGGGGTGGAAGGCAAAAATGGTAGAAATATTGGTACATTAAAAAAGAAAAAACCAAAGCAACAAAACATTAAAAAGTTGCAAGGTGTCAGTGCTGTCTTTTGTGAAGACCACAGAGGTTCCTTTTTTTCCCTTGTGGCAAATGAGTTAATTGCTTGGTTTTGTTGAAGGTATTTCTGAACAAACCTGCCAGTACTGTCTATTTAGCCAAGTAGCACTTGCTCTTTTCCCCCTTCATATCTTCTCTGAATCATCTGTGGTAGAGAAGCGAGCTTTTAGTTATCTTTCCCATATCTGTACTATAGTTAAACCTGCAAGAACATAAGCATCTCAAAGATTCCTCTTGCTTAGTATTAAATTTCCGAGTTGTTATAAATTCTACACCTTTCTGTTTGTTTGTTTGTTTGTTTCCAATTCATTTTGTTTTGTTGCTGCTGTTTTTATTCTCAGGAACTCGTGCGCCTTCTGCAGCAAACAGTGCGATCTTCCCAATATGATAAATACTTTGCAAGCCGTCTTTGTGAAGGGGTTCCCAAAGACAAATTAGAGCTGTTGCACCAAAAAGATGACCAGATTTTGGGTCTCAACAACCAGCTTGAAAAGTTGAATTTGGAAAAAGATAGTCTTCAACAGGAAGTAAGGAATCTGAAATGTAAAGTCGGAGAGCTCAATGAGCAGCTGGGGATGTTGATGGAAACGATTCAAGCTAAAGATGAAGTGATCATGAAACTGTCCCGCCAGCTCAGCGAATGTGAGGACAGTTCATCCTCCCCAAGCGGATCAGTAAATTCTCCCGTGGCCACTTGTGTTAATAAGGAACTGCAGGAACTGGACAGGCTAAAAGTAAGAGCAATGTCTCTGTCTTGATGGATAGGGAAATCTCTGCTGCCTATACAAACTACTTGCTAGTCTGCTGTGTGGTTTGGGGAGTTCACTTCAGCATTTCTCCAAGATGCTCATCACCTGAGGCTTTCTCTGCTTGGAATCTACGCTTTGAACTGTTGTCTGGCAACTTCTATGCTTTGAGCTGATCTGTACAGCTGTAGTACAGTGTCTCATACTTTGGTAATTAATCATTGGTGTGGAGGAGGAGTGATGTGAGAACCAAAGGAGCAGGAAAAGAAGTAAGGGTAAGAGGAAAATACTAGCATGGAGGAAAACCATCAAGAAGAATCAAATGGGAGGAAATAAAGAGCACGTGGTATGTAAGAGGGCAAAAGAGAAGAGAAGAACTTAAGAACCTGTACTGGTAACGGTGTTACCCGTGCACTTTATTCCTCCGACCAACCTCAGTGAATGTATCAGAGGTTCTTAATGGAGTTACTCAAGTTACTCATTTTGCTTTAATGTGCTTACTTGCCTTTGGGTAAATGTTCTGTTCCAAATAGATTAAAGTTCCAAGTCATTTGGAATATAAGGCAATAAAGTACATAAAAAGATATGAGTATGCCCTGTATATGAGCCTGGGAAATTTTAAACAACAAAATGGAAACTGTAGAAATCAGTGGTATCAGTAGGAAGCTGAGCTTTCAGATACTGCGCAGTGTTGAGATGCTCCCTCGTCCCATAGCCACAAGTTTCATAGGTAATATTTGTAGCCTGGAGCCACGTGGGTTAGCTGAGGAATTCTTGTTGTTAGCATTTTATATTTCTACGTCAAGGCAGACATCAAACTTGTTCTTTTACTGAGGGCTGGTGAGGGTAACCAAAACCCAAGGGATGTTTGCCCCTATTTCTTCTACTGCATGTGCTTCTGGCTGACCCGCAGCACCATGACCCCCCTGGCATGCTCAGTGTGCATGTTGCTGTTCTCCTGCCCAGTGGGGCAGCATGGCAGGGCTGCTCCTGTCTCTTGACTGCGAGCAGTCATCAGCTGCCTGCTGTTGAGCAAGGCTCCATGCTCATATCTAGCCTTGTGTGTTTGACTTCTGTGAAAACTAAAGATAACACCTGATTTGATCCTAATGATTTTGGTAGCTATTAGTATACCTATTAGTAGCTGCTTGATCTTTGTTTCGAGGTATGCTTTCTCTGGCAGGCATTTGCTATCTGTAAGATACCTTTATTAAAAATCCAGTTTGCTTTCTTTTATCAACAGGACAGTCTCCAGGGTTATAAGACCCAGAATAAATTTTTAAATAAGGAGATTTTGGAACTTTCTGCTCTACGAAGAAATGCAGAAGCAAGAGAGAGAGAATGGCAGGCAAAGGTCAGACTCACAAAGCATGTTCTCATTTTGGTGATGTCTAAAGCAGTTTTCAAAAAGTCAGTTGTAAATCTCCAGAAGCATAACTGTGTAACAGCAGTGAAACAGTTCAAATGTGTTAAAGCGACAGAATCAAGATTTACAGACCGAGCTTTCTGAGTGGATTCTTGAAAAATGTGGTGGTCTCGAAAACAGTGTTAAGAAGTGCATCATTGTAATAACTTATGCAAACAAGCACGTGCATTTCTAAAAACAGTAGCAGTATCTTCAGTTTTGGCAGAAGCAGAATACATATGAAAGAGCATGATTGTGTTTGACGTGTTTCATGTTGGTGATACATCACCAAGTAGAGCTTTCTCCATCAGAGCATGAAGGATCAATATGTTACAGTAAACATAACTTTGGAAGTCTGTTTCTGTAAAGCAGAATTTGAGTGCAGAGAAGCTGCATGTAAATGACAAAGTTTTCCATTGCCTAGAGCTAAGAAAGCATGCACGTGGCCTTAGCTAAGGCAGGATACCTGTAGCTAACGTTTGGTAGGATGTGCTTCTGTTTCTTGGGAAGCCATGACTGTTCTTGACTTAAAAGTTTCTAAGCAACATATAAACAAACAGAAGGAACTTATTTTAAAAGATATGTAGCACAAACTGAATTCCTGAAGACATGCCTTAAATACTACATGTTGTTTCCTGCAGTACACTAGCTTGGAAGCCAAACTCTGTCAGATAGAAAGTAAATACTTGATCTTGCTTCAAGAAGTGAAAACTCCTGTCTGCTCTGAGGAGCAGAGCCCTGCTCGTGAAGTTATCACCCAGTTACTGGAAGATGCCTTGAAAGCAGAAACCAGTGAACAGCCAGAACAAGCATTTTTCAAACCACACCTGGTCAGGTAATTTTACTAAAAGAAATGTTCATGAGGAGGAATGAAAATTATTTTGTGACCACGTTGTTGTCATTTGTAGTAATAAAGGAAGTATTGTCATTGGCAGCTAGAGCATCTTGCACTTACATGGATCACATATTGTACCTCAGAAAATGGTTGCATCTTGACTAGTGGGCCTGATTCTAACGCTAAGGAACCGACGAGCAGGGGTGTATGTGCAGAATCTGGGACTTTGAACATATTTTCAGTCACAAATAAGAAGTTAATCTTTGAAATCCTTTTGGACACATAAATAAACTCTATTCTTAATTTGAGATGAGGTATGACATTTACTCGACTGTTGTATAGCTGCTGAAGGGATGGACTCATCTGGACTTGACCCTGTTCTTAAATCACTTAATCTGTGTAGTGCTATATATTGCAATATGGGAACAAAACTTTTTTTAGTTTTGGATTTTAAAATACTAAATAAAAGATACACCTGAGAAAATATTCAAATAATAGCTGTTCATTAAAAGTTCTTAAAACTGGGGGCAGGGACGTGAGAGGTATTATGAATAAGTAACACTAGGGTAGGAATTTGGGAGTTTTGGGACTGCTGAACACATCTTTAGGAGCCGTTTTGTGTTTGTTTTTTGTTTTCTTTCCCTCCCTTTCAGTGAATATGATATATATGGTTTCCAGACGGTCCCAGAGGATGATGAGGAAGAGAAATTAGTAGCAAAATCTCGAGCTTTGGACCTGAGATCTCTTTCTCTCAGTGAAAATCGGGAGATTTCCACAGGGGTAAAATGGGAAAATTATCTTGCAAGTACAATGAACAGAGAGATGATGCGCTGTGCAGAACTGAAGAATCTTATTCGATCTGGAATTCCACACGAGCATCGCTCCAAGGTGTGGAAATGGTGTGTCAATCTCCACATTAAAAAATTCAAGGACAGCACTGTTCCCGAGTACTTCCAAACCTTGCTTCAAAGCGCCCTAGAAAAACAAAATCCTGCATCTAAACAGATCGAGTTGGATCTACTGAGAACTTTGCCAAACAACAAACATTATTCTTCTCCCACATCCGAAGGGATCCAGAAGCTGCGAAATGTGCTGCTGGCCTTTTCGTGGAGAAATCCTGATATCGGGTATTGCCAGGGGCTCAACAGGTAAGGATTTTGTGAACCTGAAGTTACCAGTGTGTGATGGAAGTACTCCTGAACTGTGCAGTTTCAAATCACATGCATAGGAAGAGGCTTTTGGACAGCAGTTTCCTCTGTGATGTCTACGTTCATAATTTGCAATATTTTGAAAACTTTTTTTTTAACAAAACAAAAAAAGAAGACTTTGATCCCAAAATTTGTAAAAATCAGAAAGAAAGAATCGAAAGAATGGGAACTGGTATTAACTGATGGAAAATGTGCTACTTCAGTGTAGGATGTCTTCGGTTAAAGTTGCAGTAATCATTTTATGGACAATTCTGGTATTAGAAAGCTAAGAAATATTTGAAGCATAGTGTCATTGCGATTGGCATTTGCTGAAATAGTTTCAGTACTTTGAAATCTGCAATGAGAGAAGGTGTTAACTGAAAAAGGTATGTTAGTCTAACACACAGCTGTTGTCCCCTTGGTATAACTCTACAGATGTTAGCTTGTGCACTGATTTGTTCCAGAATTAGGGTAGGAGACCTTTTATCTAGGGCAGCGTCGTTTGAGATTTGCACTGAGGAAGGGTTCAGACACACTACAGACCCAAAGGGAAGCATTTAAAAAGCTGCTCTCCCTACCCTAGGACTTGGTATTTCTTATTTATTTGCTTTATTTTGAAGGAAGTGTTTTCAAGTTGCAACATAGAGCTTTTAAGTCATTTCTCCGTTCGTCTGCTTTGTTACTTCTTGTATAGCATTGCCCAAAAGTACTCGTGCATACTGTAGGACAGTGGATGCACTTGCTTTGTTTCTTCCCCTCTGCTTATTTAATTTATGGATGTTTCACAAAAGAGAAAGTAAGAAAAATAATTAAGCTCTTGGGTATACTTAAAGAAGTTAAAAGCAAATTTCATAATAATTTCTTACTTGATTCTCTTAAGACTGGTAAGCGTGTGATGATGTTGTTAAGCTGTGTAACATCAGGAGCAATATGTATTGCAGTTCCTCTCACGTGCAGCAGTAACACAAGTTGACTTGGTAAAATACATTTGAGGTAATGTTTCATATTCAAACAACTATCAACTATCCATAACACAAGGCCTTACCATAGATTTCTTCTTTTCTGTCACAGTACTCACTGGAAACAGGAAACTAAGGATGCTGCTTTTCTTCAGTCCTTTTGTTCTCATACTTTAGGAAATTCTTAGAAAAAGTTTAGGCTTGGAAAATTAAGTCTTAAGAATGAAAATGTTACTTAAATTTAGCACAGTGGATATAAAGTAAACTTACTACAAATGATTGTTCTAAATTTTAAATCAGTTTTGTGTATGAAATGTAGGGACTACCTGTCTTTTCTTCTTCGGTAAGGAAGTAAAGCCTGAGGATCAGAATAGAAGATTTAGGACTTCCAGACTTCTCATTACTTTGCCTTAGTTCTTGGAAAAAAGTTCAGTTCTGTTACTGAACTGAATAAAAGTGCTTGGCTTGGCTGAGAAGACATCTCCTTGCTTCATCTCACACTGCATTCATTTACGTCTGCTGAACAGAAGGAAAGGCTGTATTGTAGTTGTTGTTAATGGATTTTCTGGTGTTTATTATGATTTTCTCCAAATAAACTCTATTTTCAGATTGGTAGCAATTGCCCTTCTGTACCTGGAACAAGAGGATGCTTTTTGGTGTCTGGTAACAATAGTGGAAGTCTTTATGCCTCGCGATTATTATACTAAGACACTGCTGGGATCTCAGGTATGTGCTCTACCAAAATAACACCTGACTATAGACTGCTGCCAGTCAGAAGCTGCTCTAGAACTGTTTGGTGCCCCTTCTAGGGGAGATGTGATGAGTTGAAAAGTGAGTTCTAAGCACCAAGGGCAAGAGTTCCAAGTGTAGCATTGAAGTGACTGTACGGTAACTTGTTTGGAGCTCCTGTTTGTAGCCCATCTTTTAATTGTCAACTAAACTGATTGTTTCTGTCCTTAGAACTAGGGGGGAGTTGTGGGCTTTCTGAGAGATTTTGGGGGTGAGAGTACTGTGCAGTGTAGTACTGTGAGCAGCATGTACTGTAGTGCTCCTCTGCTTTCAGTTGGTGCTCTGAGTGTTGCTTCCTCCTTCCTCCATCTCTCCTCGCTTGTTCTCTGCTCTTGTGCTTATGTGCCAACACAGCAGTGGTGCTTTATGATAGGAACACAAGGTGTGTGAGGAATCCTCTGAGAGATGGGATGGATTAAGAAGCAAGAAGTTGCATCAGCAAGGGAAGTGTACATTGTGACAGCAGTGTATGGACTGGGCTTAGACAGTCCTGGTGCTCCTGTTGAGCTCTTGAAAAACTGACCCTGTGTTGAATAATGTGTATTTGTTAAATATAGCATCAATAACATCATATCTGTCTACTCTTTTAGGTTGATCAGCGAGTGTTCAAGGATTTAATGAGTGAGAAACTTCCACGTCTACATGCTCATTTTGAGCAGTACAAAGTTGACTATACTCTTATAACTTTCAACTGGTTTCTTGTGGTATTCGTGGACAGTGTGGTTAGTGACATCCTTTTCAAGATATGGGACTCATTCCTATACGAGGGACCAAAGGTGAGCTGAACCAGCTGGGTTTTTCAGTTGCTATGTGATGACAAGGTACTGTCCTGTTACCAAGAATAGGGTGTGAAAGATGGTGGTTTCATAGGAACCCTGTTGGTTACAATCACTGATAGGAAGAAGGGAGGAAATGTGCATACGTAGTCAAAATGCTTTTTTTCCTAAGTTTTGCAAGTTCAACTTGAGATACACAGAGGGATTCTAAATGCAGAGTTTTGCTTTGCCCACCTACTGCTTTTTACCACTGAGAAACAAAACCGTAGACAGTACTGGTTATCAGTTTATGGGGATTATGTGAAAATGGGAGTTTCTGTGAAAGCTGAAGGAGGAGTAAGTTGGAACTATTGAAAAGATGTAAAAATGAGTTGTAAGCAAGTGCTAGTGATCAGGCTTTCTTTGCAGCAACTATTTGCTTTATTTCTGCAGACATCTAAATTACTGTTGACCAACAATGGCTGTCTGAGCTCCGAGCACAAATGTGAGGTTGTAACAACTTTCATGTATTTTGTGCTTGTGGAATTGCATTGAAATAAAATCAGTGCAGGTAGATTGCGGGATTCAAACACAGTAATAGCACCAAGGCAGACGTTGGATACAGCAGCAGATACATCAAATAAGTAGACAAAAAATGCATGTTTCTTACTTTTGACTTCATCTGAGTGTTCTAAGTTGCAGTTAGATGCAGGGATTTGGGTTGAGTGTTTGTTCAAATAGGTTTGAAGCACCATGGCATTTTGTGAAGGCAGCCAAGCACAGACTGATAAAGTCCCAAACTTAAGAAGTCGTTCTAGAATGAAGTAATGCTTTTTCACCTTAAGGCTAATTTGGTTGACAAACTGGTATCAACTTCTTCCGGCGTCAGTCCCCCTACACACTGTGAAAATGGCAGCTGTTAGATAATAGACAAGACTTAATTTTACCTGTGAAGTAACCTTATAGGTGTGTTTAGCAGTCTTTGGTCTACAAGTAAATTAGGAAATCAAAACTTCAGAGAGTTTGTATTGCTGTGAACCCAATGCTGTGTTTTGGTTGAACTCCAGAACAGCCTGTATTGGTTACAGCCTACTGACAGAAGTTCTTTGGCAGCTTTTGGAAATGAGGGATGGAATGGCAGGGAAGAGAGACTGGAAAGTATGGACAGTCAGTTCAAATGCAGGCTGTGGGAGGACACTTTTCTTTTGAGTTTATAATAGACAGCAATGAGAATGGGTTGTTTCAAATAACAGAATGCTCTCAATGTTCTCTTTGTTTTTATCAGGTAATATTCAGATTTGCCCTGGCATTTTTTAAGTACAAAGAAGAAGAAATCTTAAAATTGCAAGACTCAATGTCCATTTTCAAGTACCTTCGATATTTCACGCGTACCGTAGTTGATGCTAGGTGGGTAACTCACACCTGTGCAACCAAAAGGCTCGTGGTGGGGCATGGAGCAAGTTTGCTGTGTAATTTATTTATTTAATCTACCTCTTAATTTTGATACAGAGAACTGGAGAGGCAGCTAGTGACTAAGATGAGTAGTTGATCTTATTAAGATAACGTGTGAATGACTGTTTCATGCTGCAAAAAAGGGAGGAGGCAAAATTGGAAGTGATGGATGGTAGTCTTTTGGGGGAATGATTGTGATTACTTTGCCAGGTTAGGTATTGTTTAGCAGATGTGGCATGGTAGAAAAATTTTAAGAAGCTCATATATAGGCAAAATGTCTCACCTTGCATAATGGACACAACTCAAGCCAGAAAATGTTGTTCAAAGGACGGGTTTTTATTTATTGTAAAAGTCTTTAAAAACATGAGCTGGGTTCTACGAGGACTAAATCAATTAAGAAGCACTAATGTGTAGGCTAATGCCATGTAACTTCAGCTAATTTTAAGTATGCAGAGATGAAATACAAGTTAAATACTCTGCTATGTCTTGATCTTTGCATGGGATCTAAGGTGAATGTAAATGAGGGTTGAACATTTCTAGTTCCTGGTTTTAAGACTGCAGAGCAGCAGATTAAGATTGAAAAGTTATACTAGAACAGATTTAATGCCTGAAAGTACATTTGGTAATAGTATTGGTACAGAGTGATTCTGAATTCCATTGGAAATTAATATATTAGAATCTGACCTGTTTGTTTTTGCTGTAATAAATTCCATACATAATTAGGCTTATACTTGAACTCCTGTTCCAAGAATTATTTACTATTTGCTGGAGCTATTCTCTCAAGACAAATTGGAAAGGAGTAATTGTATTCTATCCTTAAAAATGATTCAGGGACTGATGCAGGGAAAATGTTCTCCACCTGGTTTAAATGGTGAAAGTCTGGATTAAGAACTGCTGCTTTCTCTGGTGGAACACCTGCAAGAAGTAGCGTGGTGCTTTCTATGCTAGCATTCACCCTTTGGTGTGAAAAATGCTGAGCAATCACTGTACTCGGGCATTGGTGACTAGCAAAATGTTGACCGTGATTCCAAATCTGGAAGTGACAAATATGTGCTTGGTTTTGGGAGGAGGGAGCATGTGCTCTTCTTTTTTTCTTAAGCAATAAATGAAACTGTTTGGTTTTTTGTTTGTTGTTTTTTTTACCCTCTGGTATTTTAAGAATATGTGTATAATGTGTACTGTAGCAGCACCATGAGAAACGTAAGTTGGAAAAGGTGTGAGGAGGAGGAATCCATGTTTAGATGCTTAATCAGAGCTTCAGAGTTGGCTCTCCTTTCCTCGTACAACTATGTATAGCACTTAATGATATATCTCTCCTGTGTAAAATATGTGGTGTTAAAATATCTTATTGAAAGTATTTTTAATGTTGCTATGAGAGATCTCATTTTGGTATTACCAAGTTTCCTTCCCTGTTCTAATTTCTGGCAGATTCAGTGGCCGTCAGAATTCAGTGCATCAGAAGTGTTTATGGTAGAAATACACTCTATGCCAGTCTGTAGGTGTGTAACTTGGGATTTTAAGTTGTTGTTGAAAGTGTGGTGCTGTGGTGCCACCTAGGGGATACAAACCTGCTGAGCTCATTTGTATGACCTTATTGCAAAATAAGGCATGACTCAAACCACCTGGTTTCTTATTCTACCATTTCTTGTACAAGTTTTACAGCATCAGAATTCAAACAGTACAGAAACATGTAGAATTGTGTGATACTGGGATGGACAAAAGAAGGTATGGTGGGCCTGAAATTCAGGAAGACTTCTATACGTGGAATTAATGGATGTTCTCAATGAGTTAGAACATCGTTTTGAATGGAGTTTCTAAGTTTAAGGTCTCTAAAGGAGAAAACTATGCACAAAAACCTGTGACCATACTGAAGGTGGCAGAGTATCACAGGCTGTGCATCTGCCGAGGTTTTCTACAACTGCATGTTGTTCCTTAGTGCATTGAGAAGGCAGGCAAGCTGTTGAGTACGTTCATAGATAGTGAGAAACACTTCTTGCTTACTGAGAAATATATGCCTAGGGAGAGCTTACTCTTAAACTCTCCAAATTTTCTTAGTATTAAAGTTTTGCTGATGGTTAAATTAGAGCAAGTGAAATACCAGCTCCTCTGTTTCTTTATCCTGGATAGCTTGAGAGCTGACTGTCCTGGGATAGAATGAGCTTTCCAGCCTATAATTGAGCGACAGGGTGTGCTATATATTCAGCCCAGATGAAGAAGGTCTGATTAGCCAAGCTTACATTTGTTCAGTGTTATAATTGCTGTAGAACTGCATAGAGTTTGCAGGTGGCTTTGAGAACTGATGAGCATTTGAGAACACTTTACCACCTGAAGTAGCTTTAAAACTGAATGCGTTCCCAAACTTTCTTTCAACACTGGTAACATCTGAGATCTGTCAGGTATGTGAAGGAAACCAGAGATGGCTCAGTACAGACACCAGTGAAGTACAGAACTGATTTTAAAAGATTCTAAGTGTGAATGATTATCTTCTTACGTTGCGTGGTCTTGCAGGAAGCTGACTGGCATCGCTTTTGGAGACCTGAATCCTTTTCCGTTGCGTCAGATCAGGAACCGGAGGACCTATCACCTGGAGAAAGTGCGTCTGGAGCTCAGTGAACTTGAAGCCATCCGTGAGGATTTCCTGCGTGAGCGAGAGACCTGCGTAGAAAAAAGAGACCTTATTAGTGACGATGAGGAGGATAGTTGAAACTTCTCAACATAAACTTTTCTTTGGGATCCGTGACCCAAGTGAGTTAACGTCCAAAACTTGTTACTAATCCTATCAACCAGAATGTAAACTAATTGCTTTCGGAAATATGCAGGACAGATTTCCAAGCCCCAGCACTTTCAGAAACGTGTTTTTTTATGGAGGCCAAACACTTTTGTTTACGTTTATGTTCATGGAATTGTATGTAGGGCACTTACTGCATTTCTTTGTTTAGTCAAATAGCTGAATTTGCTGAAACTGTTGACAGTTGTTTTCCTGCAGCACACTTTTAGTTGTCTATATGTGAAACAATAGTAAGAAAAGTCTGCATGGTGTTTACTATGTTCATTGCCAGGCTTCTGCATTTGTGTGATTGTAATCGTGTTTTTTATAGCACAAGATCAATGTGGGAAGACATCTTATTTTTCAGCTTCAGGTTGGCTTAATAAATGGCTTTTATTTTTTTGTCCTTGGGCAAAAAAAAAGCCCATTTTTGGTCACAACTAGAAAAGAATGGCTTGAAGCATGAGAAGGACTTTTACATTCCTTTATCTTTTACTGAAGTGACATAAAATGGATCATCCAACAGAAGACTTTAAGTACTTAAGTGTAAGATAAGTCCTTATTTGTCATTGAATGTTCGATGTATACTACTACAGATATCAAATATCATGTATGCTTTTCTGAGCAGGTGTGTTGCTGAAGATCAATGTTATTACAAAAGATTTAGTTGAACAAATTCTGTTCAGTTTGATTTCTATTCTCTTTTTTCTGGTTGTTATCTCTCAAAAAAACAAAGCCACAACCAAAACCATTTTAGGGAAGAAGAACAGAGCTTTCTGCAGGAGTATCTTTTAATACTGAATTAGCATTTTTTTTCCTTATTTTGAATTTAAATCATTCTATTTAGGTCTTAAAGTAGGACAGAGTCATGATCTTTAAAAAGAGACACAGCATTCTTTCTGCTGGAGCATATGACTAACCTGTAATAGATGGCATTCAAAAAACAAGTGTTAATCAAAGAACCCTCAAGGCCACAGCACGCGCGTAACAATTTAAGACCTTTTTCCAGCAGAAAGATGCAATGTTTTCTTAATCTGCTCCGGTTTTCTGTGAGCGTTGTGTGCTCATGTTTTCAGACAGCTCTTAGGAAGGACTTGGAGCATGTGAAAATGTGACTGGAGAATTCTTTGTCATTTCATCGCTAGCTCTATTCTTAAAGAGTTCTGACAGTGAGGTAGAGTTCCTGTTTAGGTGTGTGGATTTTTCTGGTGTGTTTTGTTGTTTGTTTGTTTAATTGGCTTTTCTCTGTGCTCCTGCAGTGCTCTTTCTTGAGCTGTTGAATCTTAGTAATGTTAGATTGGCTCAGGATAGACTGTGATAAAACTAACGTTCAAACACTAGTCAGCAAATTGCTCAGCTCTGGGAAGGAGTGGTTAATTGGCAAAACAAACCAAAAACCAGTGGACAGGAGCAGTCCAGTGCATGAAGCTTCTGCTTCATCTCTTTCAGTTTCCTGAGAGCAGGTGGGATTTCTCTGGCAGGTGTCCTCTTGTAATGATTCTAAAAAGTTTAACGTGTTTGGGGAGAAATCTTGCATCTGTTTCACAGCACTTTTTTTTTTTTTCCTTGTGAATGTATTTATAGCCTTCTCTAAACATATTATTAGTCAGTTTATCTGGGAGGGAAATATTTAATCAACAAGGTGAACGTAACTTGCAGGTTTTACTTTGACAGTTAATGTATGCCTCTTCCTACATAACTTCACATTAGCCAGCAAATCCTTGCCAGTGAGGGCACGTGGTGGAATCATCTTGACTTGTATGTCATGTGTCTTCTAAAATGACCCCTACCTTGTCTTGTCTATTGTAAGGGGTAGGTTTTCTTTTTTCCTAGTTACTCTTGGTTGTTTACTTGAATTTGTTAGGCAGGGTTTTTTCATATTTTTATTGCATGTACTGTATTCTTTTTACTTACAGTCAGTATTTGAATAGAAAAACGGGACCAGCTTTTCTAATTTTCTACTTATACTGTTTTTGGAAAGAGCTGGTCTCTAAATGAGTCTGTAATGTCCAGTATTTTTTTTCTCTTTTCATCTTATTTTTGTGTGTTAAATGAAATCTTTTCTAAGCTGAAGATCTTCCTTCTAGTGGCAACAGTTGAAATGCGGAGGTGAAGACTTTAGATGTATGTCTGCATTAGGAACTGGTTCTATGGCTTAAGACATTTTCATGCAGAATTCATTGAAGTCTTTGGGCTGCAAAGCTAAAACTAACTGTAGGGAACTGTTCAGGAGGTTCTGCAGATGACAAAACGTGACCTGCAATATTGCAGGGCCTCTTCTTTTTTACATTTGTGCTGAACTGTAAATTGTATTATTGTGATTCTTTATACAAATTGTTAATGAGTTGTATGGTGGAACAAAGTAGCTCTGTTTCTTATTCCCTTATGTGAATCTCCTACCTGAATAGTAGGAAATGATGCAAATTATGTTGTCCCTGGGTATTTTGTTAGTTATTGAAATGAGTTGGTGTTCATTTACTGAAGTGCCAAGCAAGTTCATTTGGTTAAGAATACTTAGTTAAAATGTAAAAAAAAAAAAATATTGAAAGAGGCATCTGAGCAATGAGTGCTAGAAGTCCACGTAGAACAGAAAAGCAATGCACATAGCAGGAAGCTTACCTTGCTGTTACAGATGACTTCAGGCAAATGCTAGTTTTCTAGCGGTGCTTAATCTGGCAGCTTTGAGCAGTAGCTACAGTTGGGGCTACACAAAATACACAACCAGTATTTGAACCAAATGAACAGAGCAAAAGCACAGTGAGACCTGTCAGCCTGCAGAAGCTGAGCTGTGTAGATATGAAGCGTTCACAACAGGGGAGAAATCTTCCAAAACAGTCTGAGGATTTAACATTCCTAGCAGCCACTTAGGAAGTGGACTTGTTAATGCAAATAAAGACTGTAGAGGATGTGTTTTTGTTGGTTTTTTGTTTTTTTGTTTTTTTTTAATTGAAGATCATGCACTCCTGTGCATTGAGTTTCTTATCCATGATTCCCAGTATGTTATGTAAACCAAACTGCTCATTTATATACTGTGGAATATTTCTCCATCTTTGTATGCTTATATGTGACTCTCCAGTGAAACTTCTGATTACTTGTTTAAAAATGTTCTGTTATCTTCTGTTAAATAGCCAGAATGTTGGTGCACAATACCTCTAGCTGTTAAGACTGCACAGTATTTCAGCTTTACTTGCATATGTGTCTATCATCAGCTGTTACCAGATTATTTTTTTACCAGGTATGTAATCAATCGAGTATTTGGTTGCCCTTTAGGTGTCTTTTGTGACAGATTCTTCTCTTGCCCTCAATCTTTGTAAACATGGTGAGATATTTCAGCAGAAAGGGAAATATTTTTGTTCGTTACGGCATCAAGAATGAATGAATTGTCCTAAATTTGATAAATTGAGTTGTATGTTCAGTCATACCAAGGGGAGAAATGAGTGTTGAATCACTCTGATGAAACTGCATAGCTGTTTTGGTGAACCTTTCCTGAAGTGCCATGTTGAAAATTACGCGGTACAAGAAATTTGAATCACAAAACATGAGTGATGTTATTTTCATAAAGATTGATGTAAAATAAATAAATAGTTTACTTTGCATTACAGCTTGTTCTAGTTCTTCTTTCTTTCCTCTGACAGATGAAAATAATTGCAGGTGCCATTCGGAACAAATCCCAAGCCAGGCTTTTTGTCTGATAACGTGATTTCAGAGAATCTCTATAGAGAAACAAGAAGATACTGCATGCAGGTGATGCTGACTGGGTGCTTTTGTGATTGGTGCCCTTGGTTTCTGTGGGAAAGTGTGGGGGGAGAGGGGAGATGAAATTTTCATGAGCACTTACAGGGAACAGACTTTCTAAGAAACCTGAGTATTTGTATGCTATCTCCTGACACAGCCTCTTTAGCAGAATGTCAGTTCCTATCTTACTAAAGCCTTCAGTTGCTGAGTGTGTAATTTCAGCTGTCTTGAAAAATGGGAAATAAGACTTGGGATATTATTTTTAACTGCATGTTGAAAGAGATCTTCCATATTAGAAGTGAATAGTCCATGTAGTTCTCTATCTCTTCTACAGGCAAGTTACAAGTAGATATTGGCACAGCTGGAAATCTAAGGATTTCAAAGCAGGATAGAGTGGCAGCTGAGGCAGAACATGACTGGCCTAAGGACCTCTTGTCCTTTGTACTGAAGGTTCGAGTCTGAGGAATAAAGAGAAAATTCTGCATGGGGAACAAGATCTCACTTGGACACTTAATGCAACATACTCGTGTTAAATATGTTGTACAGGCAGCTGTTAAAGAACAGCTGAGGCTCCTGTTTCCTCCTTGGAGCTGAGTTAACACATTTGTTCTCGACAGAATTGCAACAAAGATGTGAGTCCAGATGATGGATGTAGCTGCTAAATGTTGCTAAATATCTTATTGCTAACGAATTCATTTAGAAAGGATAAACACAGTTGATCTACTCTGTGAGTCCATATATGCAGAATCTCACCCTCTGTTCTGAGCCCCTCAGAGGTGCAGAGAACATGCTGAAGTCTGCTGGTGCTGTATTACAGTCTATCAGGTGTTCATGCTGGGGGAGTTCCAGGAGTGCTAAACATAGCTTCCTTATCTTCAGCTCCTTGACCTCACTGGAAGCAGAATCCAAGTAGCACTGATGCTTGAAGATTTCCCACACATGAAGGCCACAAAATATCTTCATTCAGATAATGAAAAGGAAGGGTGTGCTCTGCCTTGGAAGCTTTCCCCCTGCGAAAGAAGGCAAAAGGTTCAGTCGCAAAGAAGTTAATAGAGTGGTGTTTTCTGTTGTGATATAATGCTGTAGAAGCCATACTCCTTTCCAATTATGAATGTTTAACTGATGGCCAACTCTGCTCTGTAAACATGACTAGGTTTTCAAAGAAAGGATTAGACTAGAGAGCAAAACTCAGCACTAAATGATAACCATGAAATTAAAAAAAAAAATAAATAAAAAACAGCAACCACCAGCTATTTAATAAGAAGACTGGCTGTTCTTTACCCTACATGATTCTCGGGTTTTACAGAGAAGTGAATAGGTAATTTAAACGTTGAGTACTACAATACAGATGGGAAAATCCGGGGACTTTGGCCTTAATTCAGATGCCCAGTCTTGAACGACTGCATCCTGCCAGTGTGTTTCAAGCAGGGAGTACTTTATGTAAGTATAAAGCAGTTTCATGTTTTTTTTCAGTGAGTTGCAGTGAGAGGCTTCCTGTTTGAGCTGATAAACTGACTCAGTGATGTCTTCAGGTGCCATGATTTGTGTTTAAATTGTGAAGTAGGCTATTGAGCTGTGTTTATAAATGTAGGTGGTGGTTTTTGGTATTTACACGTGAAAATTCCCCTCGGAAACTTAAGGTATGAGCTTCCTTCTCTATCGCTTGTGGAAGAGGACTGGTGAGCAGACATTGCATCATTTGTCTGCAGTGTTCAGTGACTTACCGGGTTGCTTGCGTTGCCTGCTTTGAAAGCTACAGCTTTCAATTTTCCTTCTTACTCTTTTGCCTTGATTGCCAGAAACATTGCAAAGAAATCCGAGTTAAAATGTTTTAAAGGTGTCTGAACAACTTCTAAGAGCAGTTTCTTATTTGTACAGAACCTGTGTTTTTGGCATGTAAACCCCATGGATGTAGTATTGTGAAGGAGATTCAGTATGCCTTTGTGTTTTTGGAGACTTTGTAGGGCTAATGAGTAGAAACTAAATTGAAATGAGGATTATTCAGGGTGTAGAGACTTGAAAAGTGCCTTTCACCTGTCAGAATGATTTGTGTCCTTTCTTGTGTGCCCCTTTCTCTGAGAATTTTGTAGAAGTATTGATGTAACTTTAATGTAATCATATCACATTGTGGAACTACAGATGAGGAATTAAGGTTATTCTATTTCTGTTTATGAATTCTACTGGTGGCCTTTGAAATCTCTACCATTTCCTATCCTCCACCCTCTCAGTTATCAGATACAGCCACTAATTTTTTGAGTTGGGAGAGCTGGGTGGAACTGCTGGGCAGGAGCACAGTTGAGTCCGGTTCGCTTCAAGCAGATCTGAAGCCGAGTTTCTTTTTCTCTCTATTAAAAGCATTGCCTTTAGGCTCTTGCCTAGTATAAAATTATTTTGAAATACGTTTTAGTAGTTTGTTATAATGGAAACAGCCTGCCTGCTTCTGCATAATTTCCTATTGCTTTATTTTATCTTTACTGCATGCAAAATTGAAAGTGAAGGCAGCATAGCATTTATATTCACTTAAGTTGTGAACAATGCCACATCAGTCTTCATTAACAAATGTTGGATATTAACCTGCCCAAGAGAAACTTAAGGAAACCGTACAGTATTTATCACAGTTACTGCCTGCCACATAGGGGGAAAAAATCTAGTTTTACTGGTCTGGGGAACGTCTTTAGGAGTAAACAAATGAAGGATGTAATTCTTGTTAGTCCATATTTGGTCCAGGTCAACTTGGGAAAAGTACAGCACATTTTTTTGCAGTAGTGCTCACTCATCTGTTTTGAGATCCACAGTGAGGACTGAGACCCATGCTGTCCCTTGAAATAACAGGAGATTGCACTGGGCATTGTTGAGTTGCAGGCCACATAGTAAATAATGTAAGCTTCTATGTAGGCTGCTCTGAAAGTAATGCCTTCTATTTTTTTTCCATGGAAACTACAACAGATACCATGAGCACAACAGCACTGTTTGCTAGAACTAATTCTCACACGACGCTGTTTTTCAGCAGCATTGCCACCCTTAGCTGTGCATTTTTGCCAGCGATGAGCAAGAGCCTGCATGCCATGCTTGTAAAAATAGCTAAGTGAATGAATTTCATGGTGTGACAGCTGTGTGTGGCCTTCCTGAACACGGCTTGTTTGCACATGGCTGCTGCAATGCACCACCCCCAGCTCCCTGTGCACACATCCACTCTGCTCTCCATAAGCAGTCGGGCAGTGGCAGTGAATATCAGTGGTGCCGCTTTTTTTCTGTGAGGAGGAATTCCATGACACGCCTTTTCTTCAGCCGCACTTCCGCATCGCACGCCTTCTGTCTGCGTGCCCTTCTGCCCCTGTCTGCCTCAGGGCAACAGCGCGGGGTGGAATGTTGGTGGGAAGGTGCAGCCTGTACTGCCGTACCGTCAATATTTGCCTCCGTACAAAACGGGAGGCATTATTTTCAGAGTAGTCCCTGTATTTGGGCTTGCACAGGCTATAGAACGAAGCTCGTATGAATGAACTGTGTCTCTAATGGATTCACCACCTCAGCCTTCTTCCCTTCAAATCGGTTTATTTTGCATTGGTTTCTCGTATCCCGAACCTACTAAAGCAGAAGAGCCCAAGCAGTCTGTATGAGATGGAACACGGCAGCCGGCCACCATCAGTTCTTCCCTCTCCTTGTGCCGGTGGAGGTGGGAGCGGCTCTCCCTGCCCACCAGGGGGCGCCACGACACCCGTCGGCAGCGCGCTGCCCGCGCCCCTCCCCTCCCGCCCCGTCCCGCACGCCCAGGGGCGAGGCCCCGCGGCTGCTCCCGGTGAGCGGCGCCGCCCCTCAGCCCCCGCCTCAGCCCCGCGGACCTGCGCGCGCGGTGGCGGCCGAGGATCCCCGGCGGTAAGTGGGCGCTGCGCTCCGGAGCCCCGCGGGTCTCCGCGTCCCTCCCCCTGCGATGTTCCCGCTCTGCTGTTCGGGGTGCCACGCTGGGGAGCTCGGCTTTGACCCTCCCTTAGGGAATGTGGGGTGGATCCGGTAGTTTGCCAACTTTTCTGTGCCCTTCATCTTTGCGTGCAGAAGAACGGCCCGGCCGGACCGCGCTTCGGGGCAGCGACGCAACTCGTGTGAAGCCGTTAATCCCCCGGGCGCCCGAGGGGCGGGCGCGGCGGGCTTCCCCCGTCCGGCTGTGGCACCGAGCTCAGCGCTCGGGCACGCGGGGATCGCTTGGACGCGGTGCTGCCCGCGCCTGCAGGTCTGACAGGAGAACAACAGGCGCGAGGCAGGGGTTGTCGTATCGAGCGCTGTTCCTTTGCTGCTCTCTGAGTTCTTTCAGCTGAAGGATGAGAAAAATGAAGAAAACTCTGTGGGGATGAGAAGGGTGAAAGAGGAAAAGCCATCAGTGCTGATAAATATCTGCTTAGTTTTAGCATAAAGCACCGCGTCAGTTCATTCTATTAATTCAGTCGCTGGTTTGGGCAGTTCTGAAGCGCTGCGGTCTCTTCATAGTACTGAGAGTGTAAGGGAAGTTGTCTCGCTGTGCTCAGCTCTGATGCCTGCTTTGGGTTTTGCTTCGCTGTAACTGTTTTGCAGCATAAAATGTGCCTCAGGGGATGCATGGAGTCTGGCCAAGGATCTGTGGTTCAACTCTTCCCTCATGGAGAACTGCTCGGCCAGGGGGCTGGAGGAGGCTGCTTAGGAGAAAGGTGCAGAGCTGCTGATGCCAAATCCTCCCTTATTCCATGACGGGCGGACGTTTATCACACAGTCACTGTGTACAAACCAGTCATCAGTTGTCAAACTGTTGATGGCAGGCTTCATAATTTACCTACAGAAGGAAACCTTTATCCCGCTCCCCTTGAGGTGTATCTGCTGCTTTCTTCGTTTCCTTTCCTCACAGGGAACTGCAATGGGGCAGGAACATGTGTAGTGGTAGAAAAGAACATATTTCAATCCATGCTTTGGTCCTGTGGTAAACCACGATTTCCTGGGGCAAATGAGCTCTGATATTATGGTAGGAGGGAACTTAGGAGCATGAAGTGAACTGGCAGTAAATGTTCCTAGTGCAGAAACTGGAACGCTGGGAGCTCTGTGTTCTGTTTCTGGTTGCATGGCTGTAGGAAATTGTGTGGTATTATTAATGCTTTGCCACCTCTTCATGTTTGGGATGTGTAAAAGGTGAAACTGTGCTCCAAAGAATCATTGTGGAAACGCAGCAAGTAATAGGAATGCCCAGTAGATGCTTTTGTATTGAAGTGCTCAGCACTAGAGCCACAAGAAAGGAGCCGTGCCCCAGCATGGGATGGCTGGGGAGACGTGGTGTATTCTGTGAAAGTGCAGACCTGTGTGTACATCCCCTGCTCTGGTCACAGGTCAGCCTCCCAAGGAAACCACTGTGTAAGTAAAGAAGTTTGGGCCCTCCTTCCTCCTTTGCTCCATGTTTGCAATGGAGTCCAACAAAAGCTTTGTAGTTTAAGCCTTGAAATGTGACACTGTCTTGGTTTCCTAAGGTCAGTGTGCAACACCTGGGAAGGATTGCGTTTATGACTGTATAGGGAATTTTTATTTTGGTTGAAATTTAAGTGCATAAAGGTGATCTTTCATTCTCTTACCCTCCTTGTGCAGTGTACAATTGCCTCAGGTCATCTAGCGTACAGTCTATTTTGGATGCCTGCTAACTGCAGCTGCTGGGTGACAGCCAGGGGGAGAAACCCACAGAAGAGAGGAGGGTGGAAGGCAGTAAGTCTGTCTCCTAGGACAATGGCTGTGGTTGGTTTTTAGATTTTTTTTTAATAGGTGTGTTTGAATTAATGTCGTTTAGCCACGTACCTTGAATTCTAATGAAGGGAGTAGGCCATCTGAGTAAATCCCTTTGGGCGAGTCTTAGTACTATCTCTTAATATGTGAGTATTTTCCTCTGCTAGACTTTCTCGTGGGTTCAGAACTTGATCTTGCAAATCAGGATGAGCAAAAGGTTTAGGGTTTTTGGCACAGCTTGGCTTTGTCCTTTGTTTGCTTTTTTTGAAGTCTGAGTGTTAAGTTTGCTCCAACACTTCAAAAAATGCTGCTCTGAACAACTGCAAACAAGATTATATGAACTTCAGATGGAGCCAGTAACTTACAGGTATCCCAATTATGATAAATGCCACTGTAGCATTGATTTACTGTGGTTTCAAGTCTTAAGCACAACTGGTCAACGGGCTTACTTTGAAATTATGAAGGATTGCTTCAGAAATACTGCAGTTTTAATTTACAAAGCAGAATTTGAATTATTTATTTAGACTAAGAGGAAAGAGGCATTTTTGTCCCAGGCTTTGGGAAGAGGAAGGGAAATAATGAGCAAAGCAGCAGCATGTTTTATTTGTTTTCATCTTGCAACACTCTGAAAATAGAGGAAAAGTATGGATTGCCTAAAAGATATCTCAGAAAATGTGGAGATAAAAAGTGGAAGTGAGAAACACCCTGGTCCAGGCTCACCAGTGGAAGTGTAGGTTTGCACAGAACTGTGCTGTGGTTATGCTGGCCTTTACTGTCACAGCTTGTGCAGTTTCTACCATTTGCCTTAGGTAACTGAATGAGAGAGAGCACAATTAGAGTAAAGTTAAAGGAAGATTTTGAAGCAGTGGTTTGGAGAGATTTGTTAAGGAGAAAGCAATAGGCCTCACGGTTTGCAGCTGAGCCATCACATGTGTGGTGGAGACTTCCAGCAAGGCTGCTGCTGAGGGCATGGAAGGTATTGCTAGGAGCACTCTGTGCCTCCCCTTTATGAGGTTACTGCATGTGTCCTTCATGCAGTGAAAATGGTAACTTCTTCCAAAGCATGGCCAAAGTGGATGTGTGCTGGTCCAGTGTCAGATGAATGTCAGTCATGTCACATCACGTGCACTATCCCACGATGTGTGCAGGCACCCTTCTCAAGGAGAGCTGAAGTACTTGCCGTTGTCTGATAAGAGTGATGCTGTGGTCCTTTTGTGGCTCTCGCTGGAATACTGCACGTGCCCTGGGTCTTCCTCCCTGCTGTGGGGAAAAAGCATTGATAAGGGCAGGCTACAGGCTGGGTCTGGGCTGCCAGGAGCTCCCCATGAATATGGGGATGAATGGGTTGCGTACTAGAAAGGGGTGAATAGAAATGAATGCTCATCGAGCTCCCCCTGTGGAAATGTCAATCCAGAAGGACACACGGACATACCCAGCATATGGGAGCCAATAAGAAGCTGCACAAAATGGTGCTGGAGGACGGAGGCAGGTAACAGCTTCTTGGCTTGTGTGCTGTGATGGTGCTGTGTGCTGACAGAGGGAGTGTTGTTCTTGGTACTCCTTATTGATTTGTAAAAGCTTGAATGTTGCTCCCAACATAGATAGTGGTTGATGCAGTTGCCCTTTCAGTTGAGATGAAGAAATCAAAACATTTTTGTCCTACTGTGTAGGTTTTGCCAACACCAGCCAAAAAAAGTACGTGGAAGAGCAAGGAGAGACTATCTCTCTTTGAAGGAATGCTTTTGGAAATGAATTTGATTGATGCTCTACCACCCTCCTCCTTCTTAGAAGCCAACAGCTTAAAAGGGAGAGAGAGAAAAAAAAGTAGCAGATCTGTTTAGGGAGGTGAGTGCATGACAAAAGCTGGGTTTGTTTTGACAAGTCTGTTCGATTTTTACAACACATTTGCTGCTTGTAATGTACACTTACAGAGATGGGGAAAAAATCTTTTTTTAAAAAAGTGAATATGGCAGAAGCCCTGCAATTGCTGTTTGATACTTTGTCCTATTTTATAGGAAGGCCGTTGGTCTGTCAAAATTGCTGGAGCTTCTTGCAACGTTGGATTATGTCTGTTTCTAGATCAAAAGAGTTCTGGAACCTGGAAGTCCCTGATGCGTCTGTAGTGAGCAGCATCTGGGGTTCATAGGGAAATAAGCATCAACTGAGGGATATGAGTGTGGTGCTGAAGTCCAGAGTTACAACAGCTCTATTGCTAAGTGCAGTTGGATTTGTTATGATTTCAGAGGTCTGACCACTACCTTGCACATTCTGATTGAAATAGTGCTGTTTGTAACATCAGGGGTAATATGAGTATTTAACTACACAGGACACATCAACATGTTGTGAGGTGTTTGCTTGGTTACTGTGTTACAAAGTCATGTGAACCTGTATGGCTGCACGTGTATATGTGATGAGTAATGTCTCTGATCTCCTTTTCCAAAAGCAGCAGTTGTGGACCACCCAGAAAGGTGAGGGGACAAGCAAGGTTAAAGCAAAGAAATGACAAAAGGAGCACACATGGGAACAGGTGGAAAACTGAGCTGATCAGCATTGCTATGGATTGGGGCACACCTAGGCAGCACTTTAGAAACCCAATGCTTTTTCTGTGATCCATTCTTATGTGTCAGGCCTGATGATTTTTTTCTGCCATCGTGGCAGTTTGTGAATATCATTGGCTGGACTTTGCTCTGTGATCTTCATTGAATGCCTCTTCATTTCTGTTTAGTCTTCTATCAGCAGTCTAAACTTGGGGCAGACTTTGGTTAATCCTTAGAGTTCCTGGTATCATTAGCATAGTGGTATACAAGTATCTGAGTAGCATAGTAAAGTGAGGTTGAACATGTCACAGTGAATTCTTTCTCAGTCTTACTCTGTCCCCATAACTTTAGAGCATCGTTTTGGGAGCCAGAACTGATCCTTGCTGTCAGAAGACCTCCAGGATTTCAGTCCAGTGACTCTGGTAGAAGTAGCAAGTCTTTCCCCCTTTTCCCAGCAGCCTCATTCTCTGGTTAGCAAATTTTGTGTCAAGTATTCCCAACAGAGGTCTTCAACTGCACCAGTGAGGCTTGGTCACAGAGAACAATTACATTCAGGAAACTGAACATAAATTTGCACTGTTACACAGAGAAACACATGCAATAAATGGTGCAGCTCTTGTTCTTACTCAAAACATCTGGTGTGCGATGAGAGACACTGCACTGAGCATTCTGTAGGCAGAACCATAGTGCCTTTTTGTAGCAGTTGTCAGACTTCTGTTTGCTGCCCTGCCGGTGTGCTCCAGCACCACAGCCTCAGGTGAGAAGAAGGAAGCGCTGTTATGTGGTCATCTTGGTTTGTGGTCCGCCTGCTGACGCTTGCAATGAAGAAGCCTGCAATGCTGATATTCACACTAGCTCTCTCTTGCATAGTGTGAAGATGCACGATGCTCACAAGTTTGTCTGACTGTTGGTTGGATGCGTCTGTGCTCGGTTATTTCAGTGAGGGGCGCTTCGCTTAGCGCTGCTCACCAGCTGATACAACTGGGCCTTCATTGTTCAGCTGAGACTAATAAATAAAGTCCTTCAACCTGTCCATGGTGAGTCCAGCCACGATACGTTGCAGTGGGTCCCAAGTGTCTGTATCAGAAATGGGTTTTATCTGTTCTTTGCTTGTTGAAAGGTCATGATGAATGTGATACTTTCTTAACATTCTAGTTGCATCATCTCTGCATCAATGAAGAGTCCAAGTATGGCTTTGTTCAAGCAACAGAGGGTGGAGGACGTTTACGAGATTGGGGAAGAACTAGGAAGGTAAGTCTGTGCAGACATGGTTGTAAAAGCTGACACACAGGGATATTGGCAGCATTTTAAAATAGTGACTCGATCAATGCACTGCATGATAGATTATATCAGTTTACAACAGGAACACATTCCTCTGGAGGAATTTCACTTGGGCATTTATTGTTTTGTTTTGTTAAATGTACTAACTTGCTAACTATTTTTCCTGTTTCCTTCCTTGCAACTAGGACAACAGAAGGTATGTTTGCATTTGTCTTTTGTGCATAGGTGTCATCTGTGTGTGTGCTTTAAACTGGGTTACCTGTCTGCTCTGTGAACGAGCCAGGAAACAGGAAGCCACACCACCATAGTCACAGATACAGCTCTTTAGTTTGGCTTGCTGTGTTTTAACAGTGCTGTACAGTCTCTGGTGGGCTCAGAGCACTGACAGGTTGTCCTGCAAAACACTGTGTATGTATTCCTGAAAAGATTCACCAATGAACATCTCAGCAGGACTGGTTAAGGCCTTTATACAGCTTTTAATCTATAAAGAGTTATCTACAGATATTAATTATAGGTGCAGTTAATGGGCTGTTGCCATGCGTAACCATGATCACCTGCTTAAACACAGTGGTGGGTTTGCGGGCTGGATGATTTGGGGCTTCACAGTCACTTACAAGCACACAGGGCTCTGAGTGGCTCTCATTCAGTGTTGAACCCTCCAGTGACTTTAATATGCAAATTGCTAAATGAGGGCTCTGTTTGTTGGCTTCTTTCCCAACATCTGGCAGTTGGATTTGATAAATGACTGTATGTGCAACTACTCCTTTTCAAGGGCCGATGATTTAGTTACATTAAAACACTTCAGTTCAGGTTATTTCCCCACCAAATCTTTTTGTGGGGGATGTTTATTTTTTTCCATTCTATTCCATCCCAGGAAGACCTCAGCCTTTACATTTTCCATAGCTGCTTACTTTCACATACTGACTAATTCTGAGAATATCAGCCTGAAAGTGAAAATTTGGCAGAAGTGAGCAATCACAAAATGCAGTTCATATATGCAGTGTGTATAGAGTGTGATTTTTTAATCTAGGAGGTACTATTATGTGCTGTAACAACCAAGTCAGTGAAGATAGAAAGTGGAAGCTAAAGAGTGTATTTTTACTTTTGTTTCTGAATTGGTTTTGGAAATCCAGTGCCTTTTGAGATGAGCCTTGCTCCCCTCTTTGAGGTGATGACTGTAATGCTTCTTGTAGATGAGAAATCCAAGTCGACTTGTTACTGAGGTTGGAAGGAAAAAACATTCCCTAAAGGAAAAGGACAAACGTGACACCTCTCCTTGTTATATAATGTCATATAGGCTCTGCTGGCTTTATTTTCACTTTCAGATTTTGTGAACAGCTCTACAGACCTCTTGTTTCAACTGTGTTACATGTGTAGTGTTACCAGGTTGTCACCTGTCTCTGAGCACTAACTACTGATTAGGGCCAATGACAAGTGATACCTTGTTTCGTTGGAAGTGAAATAATAGACTAGACAAGTTGTGATGGCTGTTCCACAAGAGCTTTTTCCAGTGATGACTGATGCCCTTGGAGCCTGTAGGTGCCTCTTTTTATTACTTCAGTACAATTGCAACAAGCTGTTGATGCTGACAGGTGCGGGAGTGTAAAAGGATTTAGTTTTAGTGATTCTGGCTACAAAAGTCACTTGCAAAGCAAAGGATTTTAAACCAAGTCTGTGAAATGTCTGTCCTTTCGTGTCTTCCTGACTTAGTTTCTGATTTCCTGAGCACAGAACTTGTCATTAATACAGTTTCCAGGTTGGGTTCAATCAGAAGTTAAAAACCAGCACCTCATCAGCAGAGCCAGACACTGTACTGAAAGCCTTTGCACAGCAGTTAGGAGAGGGGGCTCCCGCTATGTAGTGTCAATGCTCTTTTGCAGGACTCAAGTGTGCTTGGTCTGGAGATGTAGTTGGACCTTTTCTGGCACGGTGTAGTATTCAAGGTAGCTGCAGCAAAGGCTGTTTGGATCCAGCTGTGCAGCACCCTGCAAACAGCGCATTTGCAGAGTCTTCAACCAGGACATTTTCAGGATGGTGCTGAGCCAGAGGCAGTTCAAAGGATGCTGAAAATGTTGTTTGTTGCGCCAGGGCACACTGTGAGGGAAAAGTCAGCAGAAGCAGAGAGCAGGCTTTCCATAGCTGCAGCTGTGTGCTGTAACCAGCTGCCTAACTCCAGTGCTTTCACAGTCTTTCAAATATTGATTTTAGGCTTATGGTTCTGTTGCCTAATTTCTCTGAAGTGAGGTACACAGGGAACCAGGAATCAGGCATGTGGCATTAGACAAAAGAAGTTGCTAATGGGCTTTTGTAGCTCTAGCAGTGACGCTTGGGAAGTTTAGTGTGGCTTATACTGAAGGAGGACAATACCTTATTGTCATATAATAGTACATCAGAGGAGTGTTTAAAAAGTCCTCAGTTAGACCAGCTGGTCTGGAAGCTTAGGAGAGTTAGAATGCAGGCATAAAGCTCTCAGATTCTCCTCTTTTTTCCTTCTTCCAAAGGCAGCAGGCTTTGCACTTTGGGGGTACATTATACAGAACTCTCAGGCATTTCATGCTGTCGCTCTTTGAAAGCATTAAACCATGATTTCTGGCAAATTCAGTTTCTCTCTGTGTCTGAGTTGATAAAAAATGGATAGGTTGAAAATTATTTTGCACAGAATGTTCTCAAAATTTTTCCCTCCCCAGATGTGATTCTGTGTTGCTAAATGTCCCTTTTATTCAAGTAACAGGAAACGATGCCTTTCACCATTCATTTTAATAAACTTCTCTGTCAGAAACCTATTAATGCTGTTATGAATGTTGTGACGGGATCCTGACATAAGCTGTTTGCAGGAATGTTGGTAACAGATGACTCTAACTGCATATCTAAATGATGGAAACATTTCTTGAAAAATGTGCAAAAGTGAAGGTGAGCTTAACTTCCTTGGTAGCATGCAGCAAGCCAAGTGACTCTTGGCTCTTCAGGCAAGGAAACAGGCAGGGAAAGGAGATCAAGAGTGGAAATTCTTCAATGGAAGCCAAAGTGGGTCAAGAGGAAGGAAGAACCGGGCTGCCCATCTCATAGTCTGTTTCCCAGGGGAGTGGCAGCAGCAGAGCTGAGCAGTGGGCCTTCTAACACAAAGTGTCTTAGCACCTGTTGTGATTCGGATAGGTTGCTCTGTCTATCTGTGCAGCGTAATTCATAAAAGGCTGTACCATAGAGTCATCAATCTCAATGTGTCATCAGCTAGCCTGCAGAGGACTGCTGACATTTGTGCCTTGTGGGCAGCGTCACTGCTACACGTCTGGGCTGAAGCGTGATGGGGGTGTGCAGTGCCTTTCATGGCAGTGCCACTGGGAATTGTGTTCCTGCAGGGCTGGCGCTGCTGTGCCCTGAGAGTGTCCTGCTCACCACAGCTCAGCTCTCAAGGATTAGATCACCTTTAACAGAGAAACTCAACTGATCACAGGGTGAGGAAATCTCCTTTTCTGTATTATTGGCCTTTGGGTGTAGGGAAGGGACTCTGCTTGTTTCTTGCTTGTCTCCGTCACTGGGAGCTACATTCACCTGTTCTCTCTCCTCTCCTCAGCTTTTGTTTGGCTTAGCCATGTTTTATGTACAGATGGGAGACCTATGGATGGAAGATGCATGGTCTGATGTGCCAATCTTTATAGCAAGTCAAAACCGAGTCTTTGGATAAGCATAATAAAGGGGAAATGCGTGTTGTTCACTTGGCAGTTTGGAATCCTCTCTGCTGGCAAATATACTTGGTTTGCTGCAATTGTAGTATGCTGGCCTAACAAAGGAGGTGGCTGAGCATCTTTTCAAGATTGTAAGAGGTTTTCTTCTGACAAGAGAAAGAAGCAGGGCTCTCTGGAGTCGTGGAAGCTGAAGTGCTAGGGTGGCAGTTTTTTGTGAAGCTCTCTGCATGAAGAGGCTGTAGACTACCAAGTTAATGCCTGGTTGGTGCCACAAGTGAGCTAACTAGGAGTTGATCTAGGATTTACCTGTGGGAAATGATTTTACAGCAAATCGGTGATGTTCTTCTGCATGTTGGGGTGATTTGCATTTCACCTAGAGGAGTTTCCTGCTGTAGATTTTTAAATATCAATTCCTACTTGTTTCTTTTTTGTTTGCTTAAATCGTAAAAATCCTTCCTCATATTTCTGATTAGATATGTTATTGCAAACATAGTATTATTCCTTCTGTGTATCTCTAACTAATAAAGATTTTCTGTTCGCTGGGATGAGTGAAAAAGCACATCTTGTCATTTGGAGAAAATGGCACACTTGTTTTTGGAGAGTGATGAATGGCAAATCAAAGAAGTGTAGGCAGAAGAGTACCTTTCAGTGTTGGCAGTACTTTGTTAATAACTTGAACTGTTTTTGTCCTATCCCCTATTCTCTCAAATTCAATTGCTAACAAAACTTCATTGTCTGGTAGCTCTGTTTCAAAATTATAGGTAAGCTGAATATTTATTGTTTGATCTTCTGCATTTTATTCCCTGCAGAAGTGTTGAAGTAAAACTGCTTGGTGTCCATCTCTCCTATTGCTTTTTGTGCTGGATCTAAGCTCTCAGGGACATGGGTTGTCTCTGAATATGTGTCTTTTCAGCACTGTGGTTCCTGGGTCATTGGAATCAGAGGTTACTATAAGAAAAGCTATTCATAATATAGAAGAAAGCCCACATTTCTGTGGCTATTTCTGTCGTGTTGCTTGAATTTATAAGAGTCTGGTGAGCAGTAGGAAAGAAGCAATTGCACTTCCAATCACAGATGTGTTAAACGAAGGAGAAATCTGGGAGCTAGTAGTTACTCCACTCAATTTTCCCTCCTCCCCTCGAGTGATCCAGTTTGGTTTTACAGCCGCTTTGGATTTAGGGAGCAATAAGTCTTCATTGTAAGGGTTTGGCAGGGCCACAGAGTTGGAATTTGTGGATCAACTGTAGAAATAGATTTTTGTCACATGGATCAGTTTATCAATTTTAA